CCCGCGAAAAATTTTACTTTTCGTCGTTTCCCTGAGGAATAATGAGTTTTTCCGTTGCCACGAATATTCTCGAGATTACAATTTCCCCAGTAATGACAGAAATTAATTCTGCAACAACTCTCTTTTCAATTTCGATAGATTCCCCGTTTTGACCTAGTCTCGTCTCATATCCTCGTCTCATGTACTGTAACAAACGGAAAATTAAATTCTATATTCTAAATGCCTCTCTACACCACCTGGTTCTCACGCCACGAACGATTCCGTGCGCCCCCTTCTGAAACACACACATTTATAAACCGTAGAGAGGCCACAATCTCTGCTGACAGGAGTCAGTGGAAGGATTCATCGGTAATTTTCTTGTGGAAAATAAAACAAATGGAGTGAGGAAAAAAAAACAAGGCAAAATCCTACAAGGATACGTCGGGCCAATGGCGTGTTACGGATATAGCGTGCAAAACCGGGAGAGGCTAAACAGTAGGGGGATGAGAGAGACCTCCACCCGTGAAAAACATCACACAAGTGTCCCTTTGCCGACGACCGTGAAGAGCCCCCCAATAGGCTGAATAATATCTACATTTTCGGTATTTCACGCAACTTCGGGGCACTTCTGATGGCTCTCCACTTCGTTCTCACGGATTTTTTTCATTTGGGGGAACAAATTCTTGCGGCTCAGACCTAATTACACTGCGAGTTGATTTCTGCCTTTGAAAATTGCTCGATTGATTGATTAAACTTTTCATCCACGAAACGAATTAAATTATTCTCCAAGAATAATTCAGTAGCGAAGTGGTAAAACGGTTTAAATCGACTCATCTCTCAGTTGAGTTTTTGACGAATATTTCCGAATCTAAGGGAGATAGCGAAATTTTTCTGATTACATTTGTTGTAGCTCTCAGTCGGGTCTACAAAAAAGGTTATATTAAAAATTTTGCTATCTCCCTTAGATTTCGAGATACTCATTGAAAACTGGTCGATAGACAAAATTGACTTGTACCTCCTTGTGGTCACCAATTACAAGATCTAGACCATGTACTCTGGAACTGTCTCAACCGTCTCACTGAATATTCAAGATATCCTAAAGTCCCTCAGAAGAAAAGACATTAAAGCTATTTCAAAATTCTTCAAAAATTGTTCAATTCAGATATAAAATATGTTTAACAAAGACACTAACTAATTAACTAACATTAAGAGACTATTACAATTTATATATTTTACTACTATGTAACGATAAATTGTAATAGGGGAGGATGGGGCAAAACGGTCCCCCTTCAATCGTCAATATTTTCCGATTCAATAATCCGATTGGGATGAGTTAGAGCTCGTTTTGAAGAATGAAAAATTATCTTCAAAATGAAGTTGAAACTGGGGATTTCCACAATGTCATTCACAAGTTATTGACAATTGAAGGGGGGCTGTTTTGCCCCACCCTCCCCTACATTTATTGGTAGCTGAATGAGCCCGAAAGGGGTTCGGAAGCTTAATAAAAAAAAAATGGACTTGTACCGTTTTACCACTTTACTACTGAATTCAGTGATTGGTCAGGAAAAAGGAGAAGAGATGAGCGAAGCCTGTTTCCTTATTGATTCCCTCATGCAAGAACTTTAAAGTTTCGTGCATACACTGATAGAAAGGATTAGTTATTGTTAACAAATGGATTTGGTTGAAGCGTAGGGTCTATTCGGTCTCACCAAATGTTCATTCGTTAATAGTTAACAAATGCATATTTGAAAAGCCTTGTTTGACCCGACTTTTACCTTTCAAGTGAACTATTCGTTAACTACTAACGAATATTTATTTGGTCATATTCAACTCTACCATTCGTTAATAGCTAACAAATCTCGTTTAGAATAAATCAGTAGCGAAGCGGTAAACCGGGTTAAGTCGATTTTTACTATTGGCTAGATTTTGACGAATATCTCGGAATCTAAAAGAGATAGAAAGATTTTTGTCATGACCTTTTTTGTAGAGCCAATAGAGCGTTATAAAAAAAGTCATGAGAAAAATTTTGCTATCTCTCTTAGATTCCGAGATATTCAGCAAAAACTGGCTAATAGTCAAAATCGACTTATCTCGGTTTACCGCTTCACTACTGAAATGAATCATTCTATCAGTGTACAGTGGAGACCCAGTCATCACGGATTATTTTCACATTGAAGCAAAAAAAATCCCAAACATGAAAAATTAATGCCCATCGAGACTCCAATAAATCATTGTCAAAATTCCACCGAAAGCACGCGTTCCCCCGCAATTACGAAACATCCCTCCCCCCAAAATTGACTAAAAATTCATGCCGTCATTCAGGGATAAGCAACCCCTTTTTTCTGTAAATGTGAATTTTCCAGGCCGAGCTCGTCAGGAATTATGAAAATTCATACACCTGCCGTGCGCCTACACTCTCCTCCATTTTTCGCTCACTTCTTCCTCCAGCCCCGTGGGTGGAGTGAACAGAATGTAAAAAAAAAACACACTGAGGGCACATGACGCGCACGGCAGGGTCGGCGAACAGATTAAGCTTTGGGTAGAAGAGATTTATGGAAGCGGCGTCCGTGTAACGAGCAACATTTTTTTTACTCTCGTGTATGAAGGAGTTTAGACTTGGGGGGTGGTCGATTAGCATAAGATCCAACAGCTGGAGGCGGATGAAACTTATCCATAAATTTATAAATTTTCACGGAGATGAATTTGATGATCGAAGGGTCATCCCTGGGAACAAAATTCAGGGGGTGAAAAACTCGGAGAAGAACGGGATGAAGAAAAAAATATATATGAGAGGGAAAATGCATCACAGTAGCCACGAGTCTGAAGGACCAAGAGGTAAAAGAGAGTGGGAAAGGGGAGGAAAGATCTGGACTGTAAGAGACGTTCAATACCAGGAGGTAAAACGGCTCGGGCAACGCCATTGGCTACCCCCATACCATCCTCCACATATATACGTACACCATTTGTAAATATATAGTACTCTTGCTGTACATAGATACTGAGAAACCTTCCAACTACTTGAGCGTATACTCTACTTTGCTCTCTTTCTCTCCTGTGCACTTCAGCCGTCCTTAGGTACATCCGCGTGCCAGTGCGACGCCGAGAGAGGAGCAACAAAAAAAATTCTCGTCTGCCATTTCTCCTTTCACATATATTTCCACTATCATTCTACTTCTGGTTGAAATTTCTTTGAGGTGAAATTAAAATCCCCTGGTTTAGGGGGAGACAGATGTATAAAATAATATGAAAGGGAGGAATTCTGTTTTAACGAGAGCTTTTTTAACATCAAGAAAAGAAATTGACCCGTTCATTTCTAGTTCATGCGTGAACTTTAAGAATTGCTAACGCATCCCAGGGGTCGCCGGTAGGGATGGGCGATGTTTTAAAGACATCGATGTTGTCAATCGATTTTTCGGGAAAAAACATTGCTTATGTAAAAAATCGATGTTTTTCTCATTACACAGGAGAAAAAACAAATTGTTTTAAATAATTTTTTTTCTTATCGTTTTCATTGAAAAATATATATTCAAAAAATATAACCTGAGGAACTTAGGAGTGATAAGTACTGGTGGAGAGGTAAATTTTGAATCACGAAACGGGATTTTTTATTAATTGAAGAAAATATTGTTGCGTATTTACCCTTTTTCTCCCTCAACCAATTTCATGTACGATCGTCTCTTTGTCGATCATCATTCTTCTATCTTAGCTCTTAGTCCGCGGACGTGTCATTATTTCTTTTTGTATCTTTTATTAATTATTCTTTTCGCCCCATTTTATTTAATAAACGAATTTATTATTTAAACGGTGTCATATTTTCCCTCTTTTGAAGAGTTGTCGCCCCGAAAACAATATATTAAATATTTTCCGTTAGCTACAATAATGGTTACAAATTTCAATTAAAAAAAAAATGAAACATTTCAATTTAAAAAAAATAGATGACTGCACTTGTTATCATTTATAACATACATACTGTAGAAAATAATTACTTCTGATTGCGGATAAATTATTATTTTGTTTGTTCTCAATCAATCAACATTATTCTTCGACAAAAAAATAAGAAATTTTGTTCGCTCGGTCAAAAACATCAATGTTTGGAAAAAAGAACCGAAAATCGATTAATCGGCCGTTCAAAACATCGAATGAAAAACGTCGATGTTTGGGCATGAAAAATCGATGTTTTCGATCAATTGACAAAGATCGCCCGTCCCTAGTCGCCGGTGATATGACTTTCTACCAATATTAAAAGAAATTATTCGAAATTATATAAATTTTTTAAATCTTATTTGGAAATTGAAAATTCATTAAGAACAGTGATAGGCATATTCATCAATCATAATTACCGTTAAATAGTAAAGTCAATTTTTAACATAAATCTTAAAATTTTTAATATTAAATTAACCAATAATTTAGGTAGAAAATTGATGATTATTTGAATAATCGAAAAATCAAATACCTAAATTTAGAATTAGCTTGTTAACTGAAAATTACATTTCAATATTATCAAATATTTTGTTCACCATCAATCGGAAAATTTAGTTATTAAATTTTATACTATTTTAAATTTGTTAAATATATTTAAACGTTGAATAATATAAGCAGATAATCCTTCTTAATATTATCAAAATCTAATATTATTGGCCATCCCTGATTAAGAATTCCAACTTTCTTAACAAGATTTTCAATTACCGAAATAATTTGAAATTAAAATGTTCGATTGATTCGTAAAATATTTCAAAATTTTAAAAATTGATAAATTATCAATTTGATAATATCAATTTGCTATACATTATCAACTGTATTTTTTGGGATTTCATTAATTTCTTGAAAATGAAGAGCAGTTATGACACCATCAGCGCAGGAATTCTGCTTCTAACGAAGCCATTACAAAGTCCCCAGTAATAAGGGAAATAAAATAATTGTTATAAAAAGCTGAGTGGTTACCTCTTCCTTCCGTCATTTGAAATTATAATTACACCGTCGGAGGGGTATAAGTTTTTCAAGAATGTCAGATGTGCTCAGTGTAACCCCTCGGCATGGACTTTCACGAGCAATTAAACTCAAAGAATGTCTCAAGTCACTAGCCAAGAGTGCAATGGTCCCGCAGGGGCAATTACGATGGCGTCTCTTGGTACACCAATATATAAACCCCAGAATCTCTGATAACAATGACAATAAAGCCAATTTCTCATGATACTTTTATTAAATACTAATTATCAAAATGGACAACATGAATTATTAATCATCAAATACATGTAAGGCAGTAGATAATTTTCATTCTCAGATGAAGAGTATCACAAAAGGTCAGGGGAATTATTGAAGGCACTTGACATAACTGAAAATGCCCTGAGCAATTTCAAAATTCATAATAAAGATATCAAAATAATAATGAAACCTGGGTAAATTAAACATCGACATACTAAGCTCTACGATAATCTAGTGTCCACTGCAGCTTGCAACAAATAACAGTGTAAACCTACGATATAAACTCAGGCTTAATGATAATCGTATGCATAGGGATTAATTTCCAACTGTCAGTTATCTGCATTGACGTGAAGAAAAAAAAACAACGAAATAAACATGTAAAAGAAGGAACTGAAACTCGAGAAAAAAAAACCCAGTGCACACGTTTGCGATTTATTACTCGATTACTCCAGTGGGAGATATACGATAATAATCGCATTGATTCCCACCGATGGCTTGCCCGCCCCCCTCCACTCGTGGTAAAAGGAGACCAAGTCGTAAGTTCTATTGCAGTCTCACACGCAACATTGCACTGAGATCGCACAAGTTTTTAGGTGAGACTTCAACACGAAATTCATCGATTACTAAAAATACTTTTATTTCATTGTGTCTTCAAGGGTTTTCCCCCAGTTTCAAAATAACTGTGAAAAAAGTTTTTCGTTCTGGGCTCTAGGTTCACGATGAGTCTAGTCCTCTTTTTCGCTTCTCTGAAGTGGGCAATATGTAATCTCTTATTTTCACCAGATTTCATATTGACAACACCTTTTTCTTCATTTAATATTGTAATGGGCTCGTCACATATACGAGAGATCAGACTTCACGAAATTCATTGATTACTAAAAACACGTTTACTTCGCCGTGTCCTCTGGCATTTCTCCAGTTCCAAAAACCCTATTAATGGTGATTTAGTCGTCTGTTTTGTTCTCTGTAATGTCAAAAATAATTTCCGTTTCATTATCATGGATTGTCGTATCATCGACACTCCTATTCCGGCTGTTTTCATCATCTGAGATTGTAATAGGCTCGTCAGCCCTTCCAGAGGACACCTGAGGCTTTCCATTGCTAATTTTTGAAAATGCTGTCAGAATAGAAGGGGCTTGATCACCTCTAGGCACAGATATGAGGGTCGCTCGTTTTGGTGGTCTGTTGAGTGGGCTCGCTGGCTTTGGCGTCGAGGGCCTCACCTGGAGCTGCTTTTGCATCTCCTCCTGTGTTATTTTCTTCGTGAACATTGTGATGAGGGGAGCAGTCTTCTTCTGCTCGCTGTCCTTCGGTTTTTCCTTGACATCTTTCTCATTTTTCTCTGACAACACTGGGGCCTCTGTCAGCGTCTTCCTCTTGGGGGTCAGGGAGTACGTCCACTGGTTTGGAAGACGCAGGTCCTCCAGGGAGTACCTCCTCCGTGTCTCCTCGGTCACGTACCAGCATGCCTTCAAGTGCATTGGCCCTTCCTCAGGACAGGGAATTCTCTTCGACAGATCCTTGATCTTGCGACTTACACTGACTTTTGTGAAGGAGTTGTCGTGCCCTGGGTGATTTTTCGTCCAGTAGGTGAAGAACTCCTTCACAAGGAAGGGCCGGCCATGCAGATTACCGTGGATTAAGCGGATAAGATCGGGGACTGCTTCCTCGGGAATGCCCTTTTTGCTCAAATTCTCTGTTTCCAGGGCCTCGGATTCTGCTGGGGGAGTCAGGGCTATTGGGGCCTCCTTCGGCCAGCCTTGACGGGCCATCAGGAAGTTGATGATGTGAGCAGGTGCTGGAAAATCCGAGAATTAGTGATGAGTGTGAATGTTGCGATGGGCCAGGGGTACTCACTGTTCTCGGGGTAAGAGTTGAGAATTCCCAGCCAGATGCATCCAACAACTTTTGGCTTTATCTTGGATGTCTTTGTCTTCATTTCCGCCTCAAACTCTTCTTCGAGGATTTTAAGCTTGTCCTTTTGAAGCTCTAAAGGCTGGGGAAATTTTAATGATTGGTGAGTACACTGAGAGAAAAACAAACACATGGTTAAACGAGTCTTATTTGGGCCAACAAAATCACTAGTTGAAAATTGCCGAAAAAGAATTCAGGAGCGAAGTGATAAAACGGTTTAAGTCGATTTTGACTATTGGCCAGTTTTTTGTGAATATCACGGAATCTAAGGGAGATAGCTAAATTTTTATCATAACCTTTTTTGTAGCACTCAATGTGCTCTAGAAAAAAGGTTATTACGAAAATTTCATTATCTCCTTTAGATTCGGAGATATTCTTCAAAAACTCAACTAAGGGATAAGTCGAGTCAAATCGTTTTAGCACTTCGCCCTTGAATTTGTTTGGTTTGAAATTGAAAGTCTCAAATATGAATAATTGCGCTGCTTTCGACAGCAAAGAAATATTTGGCTCAAGAGGCGGATAATTCATACCAGACGGTGCCTTTTCAGGATGAAAATATCTCATATAAAGGAAAATTTTTCAACTAATATTTTATCCCCAAGTTACAAGATTGCTATCATATTATTATTGTTTCATTTAAGGGTTTATTTGTTGTCTGTGATTATTAGACAGCCGAAACGAAAAACTAGTATCCCTTGTTCGACATAAAACAAAGATTTTTCGGGAGCAAAATACGTATGGGAGTATCGAATAACGAAGAAATAGTGCTAGAGATGACATTTCTTGCGTGTACAGGGAATGCAATTTTTTTCAACTACTAAATCTATTTTTGCGACAAAAATTTTTCATTCCGGCGCACTCTCTGCATGTTAGGCCCAAAAAAATCCTTTTTTGATAATTTTCAAAAAACTATTTTCTTGGCACAAGTAAGACTTGTTTGAAAACTTTGTCGTTTTTCTCTCAGTGTACGAGAAATTACTCTCTCAACATTAAAAATTACAAATACAAAGCAATCTCCAACACTCAATTGCCCAATCTCATTGGAAATTCATCGTAAAATCAAAAAACTTCAATAGAAATTCATTATTAATTCAACATAAATGTCACTGGAATAAATTTTCGGGGTATAAAAATCATTTCTTACCATTTCCTCCTCGTCCTCCTCATCAGCCTGAGCCTCCTCGTCCGATAGATATCCATGAGGCACCATAAATTCATTATCAACATCGTACTCATTGTCGTCCGGATTCTCCTCGTCTTTCTCATCGTCCGAGCCTCTCAACGATTCCCCAGGCTCCTCCTCCTCCCACTCCTCGTCCGAATCAACCTCGTAGTCAAACCATTTCTACAAAAGATAAAGAATAAGCAATCTATCACTCGTTAAAAAAGCAAAACCCTCGATTTAATTACAAAACGTTCAAACGTGATTAAAACGAATTCATTCATGACATTGTGTGCTGGACGATGATGAATGAACAGGACGTTGATATCAGGCGGCACTTCCTTGGAGCGATATCTCGAGTGCATGGCACTTTCCATACATCACAAACTTGTATTTTTCAATGCTCACGACATCAGTCACTTTGCTCAGCTAGTCTAGGTTTACATCCCAAACAATAAAAAAAACACACCGGGGTGTGGTCTCTTACATTTCAAACAATAAAATAAGGGGGAATTTTCTCTCAAGGGTCGTGAGGGTCAGACATTCGTAAAGGTTAAAAATCAGTGGAAAATTAATTCCAATGTGATATAAAAAAAAAGAAATCAGTGTCCGCCTTCTTCACCTCATTAAAGCTATAACATTTTAAATCGATTGGTTTTTTCGTCCAAATTTTAATGTTGAATCCAGCATTGCTCAAAGGGACTACGAATAAAACAAATCGAATAATATTTATTTCCTTTTTCGTGCTCACTCGACCAGAACGTTATTATCTCATGCACAGCATCAGTCACTTTGGTCAGCTAGTCTAGGTTTAAGCTCTCACGTTTCAACCAAAAAAAAAAAAAATACGAGAATTGAAAATTAGTGAAAAAATAAACTGAAATGTGAAATAAAAAAATTAATCAGTGTCCGTCTTCTCCGTTTCGTTAAAACTATAAAACTCAAAATCATTAAAATTTTTCGTCCAATTTTCATTGTTGAATCCAGCATTGCTCAGAGAGACTAACGAATAAAACAAATCGAATAATATTTATTTACTTTTTCGTGCTCACTCGACCAGAACGTTATTATCTCATGCACAGCATCAGTCACTTTGGTCAACTAGTCTAGGTTTAAGCTCTCACGTTTCAACCAAAAAAAAATACGAGAATTGAAAATTAGTGCAAAAATAAATTGAAATGTGAAATAAAAAAATTAATCAGTCTCCGTCTTCTCCGTTTCGTTAAAACTATAAAACTCAAAATCATTAAAAATTTTCGTCCAATTTTCATTGTTGAATCCAGCATTGCTCAGAGAGACTAACGAATAAAACAAATCGAATAATATTTATTTACTTTTTCGTGCTCACTTGACCAGAACTTTATTGTCTCATGCATCAACGTCCATTTCATCTGCGCACAGACATCAATTACAATACCACACGCCAAGACATTAATTTATTATCGACGGAGTGCCAGTGATCGATATGACCGCCTGGAACGTCGCTCTTGCGTTATTAAAAAATTTTCGTTCTTCTTTTCGAGGATTGAGAATTGATAGAATGGTCTGAAGTGGTGGATCGCGGTGGAGCTTGCGGCAGCGTTGATGTGAGTAACATAAATTAATTATTGAATACGTTTGAAACCGGTTGTGTCGTTCATCACTCGGCGCTTCATTTTAGGGAGTCCATGGTGCTATATTTCAAAATAGGAAAATTGAGATGTTGAGATTTTCATGATAAATTTACAAATTTCTCGGGATTTTCTCAACACAGAGAAAAATATTCACTAAAAATTACGTATCTTTTCCGTAATTCCGGAGCGAAATGTGGTCGTAGGAAATTTTACGGAACTGTCACAAAATTTGTCCAGAGCGTTCCGTAATTTTTATTTGAAATCTCCTGTGAAAAATGACAATACCGTCCCTTAAATTTTCTGAGTCGATTCCGTAATCGGTGAGCGAATATAGTGAGTTCCGTAATTTTTACTGAACATTTCTCTCCGGGAATGGAACAAATTTATTCAATCAATTAATTTAATTATTAATATTGAAACACTTTTGTCACCTTCATTATCATCATTGCGAGCACCGACACCCCTGAAAGCTATCTTATCTCAGCCTTCAACAGGACTTTCCCCAGACATTGGCCATCCCCGAAAAAAAAAAACAAATCAACTATTTTATCCGAAAAAAATGAAGAAAAACAGAAGTCCGATAAACGCGCAAGGTGACGAGGAAATAATTAAAATGCTGTTGTCACTGCAAGAGAGTCGGAGGGCCATCTGTAATGGTCTGTTTTATGCCCCGTTAAGATTACAGATGCTCGTGCGTTTCATAGGCACGAGAGATTAAACCTAAGTCCAGGGACCGATTAATCCCGAAAAAAAAAAAACGTAAATTTTTTCAATCATCTGTTTTAGCCCGGTAGCCTGGCGTAGTGGTTAAGGCCGTTGCCTCACAACGGATAGGTTCCAGGTTCGATTCCTGGCCGGGTAGAATGGTGAGATCTAACCATTTTTAAAGTCTTGATCAATCGCCATATAGTCTCATCAGACTCGAAGCGATATAAAATAAGCATAAAAAAAAAAAAAAAAATCATCTGTTTTATTTTCGTGTACTATTTTCCGGATATCCCCACCCCTCGCCAATTTTCATTTTAAATCAGCGAAATATGAACAGAAAAATACCCACGACACGACGAAAATGTTTATTAATGACCGAAGAGTCTCAATTAATCCCGTAATTCTCAGTCCATTAATTCTCCAATCAATGACGAACATTTGTTATGACGCCACAGCGATAAAAAAAATTCACGCGCAACTGGAAAATCCAGTGTGACTCTAATTGAGATAGAGACAAGGATAATTATATTATCAACTTTATTTCAGCAGCTCCACTTCTCCACAATTGAAGGTGACATTTTATAGAAGAAATTGACCGCTTACCTTGCAGGAAAGGCAGTTTCAAACTTCATGTTCAGTCAAGTCGAGATAGACCTACACACGGAGAGTCACACGGAGAGAAATATTCAATAAAAATTACCAGAAAAAAGACGTAAAAATTACGTTTCGAAACGTAATCTGGGAGCGAAGTAAAATTCAATAAAAAGTGTCAATCGTCACGTAAATTCTACGATCTGTTCCGTAAAAATTACTCATCCGTCCGACGCCTCACGGCTAGCCATGAGTCACCGTGAGGGGGAGATTTTAACAACACGTTCCGTAATTTTTCCGGAACTTTTCGTAAAAATTCTCAAACATCCAAGAATTTTCATGTTCTGAGGCATAATAAGTCTTGAAGTTTCTGTTAGATTTTACAACTTCCAGAAAAATTACGTGACTTTTTCGTATTTTTTCGGTGACAGACCCGAAAATTTACTGAACGTTTCAGATTTATTCTCTTATATTCCTATAGAAATTCACTGAAAACGATTCTCGCTTGCGGATTATGTGAAATATTTCGTTATTTTTCTTGAATATTTCTCTCCGTGCATGTTCAGTAAAAATTACGGAACTCACAATTCGCTCACCGATTACGGAATCGACTCAGAAAATTTAAGTGGCGGCATCGTCATTTTTCCCAGGAGATTCAGATAAAAATTACGGAACGCCCTGGAAAAATTCCGTGACAGTTCCGTAAAATTTCCCACAACCACATTTCGCTTCGGAATTGCGGAAAACATACGTAATTTTTGTTGAATATTTCTCTCCGTGCGTGTGTAGATAGATTTGATATTAACGTGCATCAAAGTGTGCGCAGTCAACTTCCAGTTATTAAATTTTACCAAAAAAATCATGAAATTTGAAGTTTTTCGGGATTTTTTCAACTTATTTTGACTCAACCAATTGGGATGAAATGAAGTCAAATCCACTGAATAAATCATATTTTCATTAATCCGTGGCTTTTTTCTGAGAAAAATTACGTCCAAATTCATTTTTTTTTCAATTTTTTCAAATTTTTCATTTAAGGATGTACACCCTTTCGGCCAAAATTCACGTTTTTTCATTTTACTGGCAATCTATTCATCGGAGTGACGCGAAATAATATACCGTTTTTGCGTTTTATCATTATTGACTGACTCACGAAATTTCATGGTAGTGCAATGATTTTCCTGCATGTTTTCTAAAGTTTTGTGAATTCCCGAAAAGTTTTAGAAAAAACGCCGAAAAATGATTGCACGATCGTGAAATTTCGTGAGTCATTAAGTAATGATAAAACTCAAAAACGGTATATTTTTTCACGTCAATCCGATCCACAATTTACCAGAAAAATTCAAAAAACGTGAATTTTGGCGAAAAGGGTGTAACACATCCTTGAGCCATTTTTCAACACTTCGACATTTTTTTTCTCGAAAACCAGACGTGCGAGAAAGATTTCCCAAAGGAAATTTAAAATCAGCATCAAAATATCTGTAACATGCGGTCAGTTTCGTTTTCGAGGTCGAATACATCCGAATTTTGTCGACCCGTGTAGCCATAATGAGAATGATTCAATAGACTCCTGGAACTCGCAAAACAATGTACTGGTCATTACATCCTAGCTATGAAATCCATCAACTCAGACACGTGCGTTCACATCCGAAATACCACGTTATCCAGCGTTTCGTTGAATCCTCGAATACGAATTCTCGAAAATTCTCATTTCTCGATAGCCAAAATCTCCGCGCAATGCGCCCCCCCAACCCCACGATTCCATCAGAATGACGGCGATTTCTAATGCTTCGAGAAAGCGTCTGAAAAATGTTCCCTTTTTTTCTTTTCCTTTCCTCTCTCCATCGGCCGATCTGAAGTCATGTACGGGGTCAAAGAATAAAGGTCAATCTGAGGGTCAGATCTGAGGGGTCAAAATAAGGGTCAGAATCCTCCCCTTCCCTCCCCCCCCCCCCCCTTTATTCCATTAAAATCCGTCTGGGCGAACCACAGAAAAATATTTTCTTTTTTTTCCTTCTCATTTCAATCAACCGATCCCTGGGGATTGACACGGAGCCGTCACCGGTTGGCACAGAGTCCCGATATCTCGGGACATCGTTGTCATACTCCGATCGTCTCCCTGCCAGACTCCATTTACGTATCACTCGGTCAACTCTCAAAACGCCACGCACTCGTGAGAGAAAAAAAAAACGGAGAGGCATTTTTTTTATCTCGTCGGTTACTCTTGTTTTCACTACCTTACACGACCATTTTGCCCCGCTCGTAGACCAGTTCTAGAGTGACAGTCGAACGTGTCACGTCTTCTGCTCATCTTCACTCAAAATTTTCGCCTTCAAACTAGAGTTGTTCTTGAGAAACATCACTCCAGTATCAGTTGTGATTGTGATTTGATTTTTGTTTTTTTTTTAAATTCATTTTGTGGAATAATTAATACCCTGAAGTATGATTGACGACACAGCAATGTTTGATGTAAGTAAAAAATTCAAGGCCATAACGAGTGTTAAATGAATCAATAAACGTGATTAACGTAATGCGGATAAACCCCGAGATTTATCATCAATTCATCCGCATTTTTAAAATAATAAACGCCACGTAAGGGTCACGAGGGTGCGATAAAATAAAATAAAATTATCAAGAGAGAATATTGACTCATTGAAAGACGAATATTCGACAATCACCTATTTGCATACCCGTGTGCTCGTTTGCACGATGAACGTCTTAACATTCGACGAGTTGTCGCGTCCTGCGAGACATGGAACATGAAAACCCTGAGGATGACTGTGCAGACATGTAATTCTCAACATTAAAAAAAATCATTTCACTTTAGTTTATTTTCCCCGTGTCAGAGTCGCGTGTAATGCCCCGTCAATTCCTTTTGTTTTCGCGTGTTACCTGATTGAAACGTCAATGGATGAAATTGAAATTGCGTTTTTGAGGTGATAAGAATCAGCTAGGTGTGTCTTCATCGAGTTGTGAAGGTTTCAATTGTTGCTAGAACTCTCTATTTTTGCACCGAGAAATTAAATTGATTTCATCTCAATAAAATAGAGCTGGAGATAAAAAAAAAAGTTATTTTTTGTTGTTTGATTGAAAAATGTGAAAAAAATCTTCATAAATCCTTAAAATTTCAGGAAATGACTGACGAAATATTGTTCTCAGTCCTCGGTTTCAACACAGACGTCACAGATATGTCATCATCATCATACAATCCTACATCACTACCCTGTGACTACGAGCCAGCATGCGGAACCCCTAGCAGTGAAAACTCGGAGATTGAAAATCAATCGTCATCAACGGTCGATTCAATCGAATGCTACACGGATCTGACGTACTCCCCCGAGGTGCCCTGGAGTGACTGGACATCGTCAAACACGTCTGCGTCCGATTGTCTCGGTGAGCTGGGTGATCTCAACACCGAGATCGATTGGTGTTTAGATAAGGTATGGGGATCGGGCCTGCCAGAGAGAACGCCAATGTGCACACCAGGCTGTGAGAGATTTCTGCATTTGCCATTGGTACAGCCCCAACAATCGTCCCAGTGTTCTCAGCCTGATGAGCCACTTTTAGTGCTTGGAATTGATCTCAGATCTTTGGAGAATAATCTCAGTATGGATTTTAATAATAACCGAATTGGGGAGGATTTGTTGTTGGTGAAAGGTGCTGATGCTGCTCTTGCCACACATGATTACACTAATCGAAGTGTGGAGACTGCTGCTAATGAGGATCGATGCTTTCCATGCACTTATCAGGGCTGTGTCAAGGTAATTTTAAATCATGACTCTATTTTTTGACGTGAATACCAGGGATAGGCAATAATATCAGATTTTAGCAATATAAAAAGGATTATCTCGTTGTATTGTTCGAAGTTTAACTCTATTTACCAAATTTAAAATATTATAGAATTTATTAGCTAAATTTTTCGATTGATGGTGAATAAAATATGTGATAATACTAAAATGTAAATTTTTAGTTACCAAGCTAATTCCGACTTTAGGTAGGGTAGGGTAAAATCGACACTTTAGATTTTTTTGAAATTATTCATAACTCAGAAACAAATGTATCTAGAGCTCAGTTTAGGCTCACCACAAAGGGAAAGAATTGTTCTTTGTATTTAAAAAAATGATTAAATTTCATCAACATTTCAACCCGTCACTAATATTTTTTAAAAAGTCAAAAGTGTCCATTTTACCCCAACCTCCCCTACTTGATTTTCGATTATCCAAATAATCGTCGATCTTTCCACCTAAATTATTGGTTGATAGCATATTTCGGAATTTAATTGCAAAAATTGATGGTTACTTTAATATTTAAAATTTTAAGATTCATGTTAAAAATTGATAGCTTCACAATTTAACGGTAATTATAATTGATTGATATGCCTATCACTGGTGGATACATCTATGGTTTCAATATGGACGGTCATGTTGGGAAACGGTCCTTATGTGCAGCGCCATCTATCGGAATTCTAGAGAAGTCTAGACATTTCGAGGTAATAGGGACCTTGCATGAAGCTCAATTCTTTGGAATTCCCCTATTCACACATTTCTCGTAACATAGGAGCTGGAGAATTTATTTTGTTTTCATTCATTGACAGGTATATGCCAAAGCCTCACACTTGAAAGCCCACCTTCGTCGTCACACAGGGGAAAAGCCATTCGCCTGTACCTGGACAGGCTGTGGCTGGCGTTTCAGCAGATCGGATGAACTCGCTCGACACAGAAGATCGCATTCGGGGGTCAAACCCTATCCCTGCGAGCTGTGCAGCAAGAGGTTTGCCAGGAGCGATCACCTCGCTAAGCACCGCAAAGTGCATCGAAAAAACGCCTACTCCATGTTTCAAGAGAATCGCGGGGGTTTCAGAGGAAAACCGAACATTGTCACCGATTTCTAGTACTGATCATCAGTGGAAGCTACTGATCAATCGCCAAAGAATATTCCAAAGATCTTGGGGACTAGTGAATAACCCAAACAGTATCAGAAGAGTTTTCAAAAGAAGTGAGGGAGAACATTGATTTTTCAAAGGCGTAGCTCAATTTTCTTATACTTGAATCATTCAGGATCATTTAGATTGACATTCTCCTGATAATGTCGAGATGACGAAAGACAGCTTCATTAATTTTTAGATGTAATTAGTTATAAACAGCATCTAAGAATATCCAAAATTCCCATGTTTCCTTCTATTTTCCATTAAAAAAGGGAGCAAATGAATTCATTCATCCAATGAACATCAGCTCTTGCTCGATGAAATATCAAAAACCCAAACATGATAATTCTTTGGATATTCTCACGAAATCTCTTCACGAGGCAGTTAGATATAATCAAAATCACCAACGCAATCCAACGTCGAATAATAAAATTCATGCAAAAACGAAAAATAATGAAAAAAGAAAAATTACTCACAGTATCTTTAGTAAAGGGTCTCCTAGGATTGATCACAAGACTCTTCTTCCTCCAAGTCCCCCAATAAGGAGGCCTCCTATTCTCCTTGAACAACAACAACTTGGCTCGATACTTCTCAATAGTCCTCTCAGGTTCATTAACAATACTCGAATCCCCATCATCCTCCTCAATTATCACAACATCGTCCTTAGCCACATCATCAGCAGGCCAGGTCTTTCCAGACTTCCTCATCTTCCAGCTCTCCTTCTTGATCTCCTTGATGTACAGCTCCCCCTTTCCTCCATGATCCCCCAGACACTCGTCAACAGCTGACTTCTCCTCATCCCGAAGGGACCTCCTGCACCTGGGTGCAATCTTCATGTCCTTTCTCACTTGAAAAGGCATGAAATTGCTTACCTTATCGACTTTCTCTCTATCCTCATCACCAGTCTTGCTGTTCTCCAGTTTCTTAGCCACGAAAAATCTGACAAAAGTCGAGGCTGCCTTCTGTTTTTTACGCTCTGCCTCGAGTTTCTCCTCCTCCTTCTTCCTCTTCTCCTCCTCCTTGGCCTCCTCTCGCTTCCTCTTATCCTCCTCCTTGGCTCTCTCCCTCCTCTCCTTCTCCCTCTGCTTCTGCTCAATATCCAGTTGCTTCTTCAACTCCTTCTGCTCCTTCTCCCTCTTCCTCAACTCCTTTTCAGCCTCCTCTTTCGCTTTTCTAGCTATTTTCTTCTCCTCCTGCTCCTTCCTCCGCTTCATCCTCTCCTCGTTCCTCTGCAACTCCCTTTCAGCCTTCGCTCTCTGACGCTCTTCCTTCTTCTTGGCACTCTCCAGCCTTTTCTCAACCTGTTTTGGTGTCAATCGCCTTTTCTTCAGGGGAATATCACCAGAATTCTTGGATTGTGTCGGGGTTTTCAGTAGATTGTCTGATGAATTCTTCGAGCAGTCCTCATCGTGAGATTTTTTATCGTCCTCTGAAGACGATGATGGCGTGTCCGACTCGGAATTCTGAGACTTCTCCTTGCTATTCTCGTCGTCGTCATCGTCCTCAGACGTTGGGAGAACCTCTGCCAGGGCATCATTACTCGAGTCATCGGTTTTTGGAGATTTTCCAGGGCTAGATGACGCAGCAACTGGCTCTGATGACTTCTCCTCGGACTCGTTATTGCATCTGTTTAAGATGACCAAGGGGATCTGGTCGTCTTCCATTGGTGGAGGCTTTGGAGGAGCTGCTGCTGCCGCCTGCTTCTGGAACAGTCTGGTCAAAGCACCTGGCTTCATCGAGTGTTTTGGCTCGATTTTCTTGTCTTTCGAGGATGACATTGTGTCCGGAGACCCTGACACCTCGATTCCAGACTCTACGGCGTCTTCTTTGTCTGATGTTATGTCGATTTCGGGGATTTCTGAGGGCTTGGAGGAGTTCTCTTTTTTATTCTCGACTTTCAAGACTTTTGGACTCTTGCAATTTGTGGGCGAGGGGGAGGAGAGCTTTCGCTTTTTTGTCGAGGTGTTCGAGGAGAGGGGCGAGGTGAGCATTTGGAAAGGGAGTCGTGCTGAAATGAAAAAATAAAGTTTTATGTTATTGAATAATTGAAGGAATTCCAGTGAGGAATTGAATTTTTTGTAAACTAGGAATTCAATGTTTTTGTCAATTGATTTTTCATGATTGTCAATCATTTTTAATCATTATATTCTTCACTTGAGAATATTTTGAAATTCTTTTAGTGTATGGGCTTTTTTTAATTCAATTTAAAATGGAATGGATAAAAACTTTTGATGTTTAATGAAGAATTCTCATATAGGGGATTTTTTCAATGTAAAGAACAATTCTTGCCCTTTGTGATGAGCCCAAACTGAACTCCATTGATAAATTTGTTTCTGAGTTATGAGGAATTTGAAAAAAGTCTGAAGTGTCCATTTTACCCCGTCCTCCCCTAAGAACAATATATTCTTGAGTAAAGAATTAAACATTCGTAATTCAACAATGAAATACTTTTCAGTCAATAGAAAATATTTCACCCTTGAATCAAATAAATTAATTATTAATTACTGAACCTTCTTGGACTGAAATTTTCCATTGAATCATATACTCCCCCATCTCTCAAGTCCAAAGAGAATAAAAAAACCCCAAAGTTATTGAAATTGAAAGAAAAACGAAAATGTCAATTGTCCCCCATAAAAATGTCACCCATCGATTGTTAATTGCAATAAAAACATACCCTGTTTAAGTTTCTTTTGTTTCGGAACCGACTCCTCAGCTGTGTCCATCGCAACGTCCATGACTTTCATCTCAGGACCTAAAGGAAAGAAAAAAAAGTAGCCAAAAATGTCTCAATTCCAGAGACAAAAAAGTCATCCCTGGCAGTCAACTCAAGTGCCCATTAATTCTCCTCAATTATTTCTAGACTAATGAACAATTTTTATACTTACTGATTTGTGTCAATCTCAATATTTTGTCGGTTAAACCTTTGTTAATGAAAATTCAGTGCCACATGAATTCCACAAGTCGTTGCAGGGCTCCACCATAACCTCTCAACTAGAATCCAAGGACTCGAAATACGAATGAACCACTTGATACAGTTGGCAAACGAGATACACCCACCAACCACACGGTAATGCACAGATTATTTGGATGATATCGCACGAAAAACTGACATTTTTGTTCATTCAGTAATGATAACACAACAAGTGGAGTGACCGCTCGATTGACAGAATACGCGGGAAAACGCGCAATGGAAGGGATAAACCGATGAGATAATGGTTATGCAGGGGGGAGAGGCTGAATCCCAGAGAATTAAAAATAGATCTCTGTTTTGTCGACCGAAAGTACCCATTTTCAACACGCGACAATTCTTTTGAATTAACAATATATTAATTAGGGGAGGTTGGGGTAAAATGGACACTCTTGACTTTTTTTTAAATATTAGTGACGGCTTGAAATGTTGATGAAATTTAATATTTTTTTTTCCATACAAAGAACAATTTTTACCCTTTGAGATGAGCCTAAACTGAGCTCTATTGTTACATTTGTTTCTGAGTTATGAATAATTTTAGAAAAGTCTAAAGTGTCCATTTTACCCTACCCTCCCCTAATAGTATATTAATATTATGGCATCAGGCGATAAAAGTATTTCTAATAACTCATGACATCAAGTAGGGAAGGTTGGGGTAAAACGGACACTTTTGACTTTTTTAAAAATCTCAATGAGGGGTTGAAATGTTAATAAAATTTAATAATTTTTTTTTCAATACAAAGAACAATTCTTTTCCTTTATGACGAGCCTAAACTGAGCTCAATTGATCAATTTATTCCTGAATTATGAATAAGTTAAAAAAAAGTCTAGTGTCCGTTTTACCCCAGCCTTCCCTATCTTTCCAATAATAAAAAAAATTATTGACTAATTTTTTTAAATGAAAACATCACTCAAGGAATATTCTATTATTTATCATGTCTATGAACATGAAAAAACTATAATAATGTATCAATTCAGTAGCGAAGTGGTAAAACGGTACAAGTCAATTTTGACTATTGACCAGTTTTCAATGAGTATCTCGGAATCTAAGGGAGATAGCTAAATTTTTATTATACCCTTTTTTGTAGAACCGATTGAGAGCTACAACAAATGTAATTACGAACATTTCGCCATCTCCCTTAGATTCGGAAATATTCCTCAAAAACTCAACTGAGAGATAAGCCGACTTGAACCGTTCTACCACTTCGTTACTGAATTGTCTCGAATAAAAAGATATTTAGCACGATTTGCTATATGAAGACTTGAACAATAAAAAAACTGACTAAAAGATTATTCAAGTATTTATTACACTGTAGAATAATAACATCAATGAAGAATAATAAACGATAATAATCATTGTTCTGGAATAAAAAAAATTGTGATTACACGGAGAGAAAAACAGACACGTTGTCAAACAAGTCTTGTTGGGGACCAACAAAATCGCTAGTTGAAAATTGCCAAAAAAAGAATGTGTTTGGGTCGAATTTGAAAGTCCCAAACATTAATAATTCTTCTGCTTTCGACAGCAACGAAATATTTGCCTCAAGAGGTGGATAATTCACACGAAACGGTGCCTTTTCAGGATGAAAATATCTCAGAGGAAAATTTATCAACTAATATTTTATCCCTAACTTACAAGATTCCTATGATATCATTATTATTGTTTCATTTAAGCGTTCATTTGTTGTCTGTGATTATTAGACAGCCGAAACGAAAAACTACTATCCCTTGTTTCGCATAAAAAACGATTTTTCGGGAGTAAAATACGTATGGGAGTATCGAATAACGAAGGAGTAGTGCTAGAAATGACCTCTCTTGCGTGTACAGAGAATGCAATTTTTTTTCAACTACTAAATCTATTTTTGCAACAAAAATTTTTCATTCCGGCGCACTCTGCATGTTTGGCACAAAAAAATCCTTTTTTGATCATTTTCAAAAAACTATTTTCCTGTCACAAGTACGACTTGTTTGAGAACTTTGTCGTTTTTTTCTCAGTCTACTTTGAATAAAATTGAATAGTGAAATAAAAAATCTGAAAAAAATGTATTTTCAAGAAATAAAAGATAAATGTCAATGAGATTGAATATATTTTCAGTGTGAACTCATCGGTTGTGCACGAACACAATCAGCTCCTTCACACTTAACCAACTCCTTCAATCGTTTCCTAAATCTGTATCTCCTCCCTTTATTCATGCTGTATCCAATATTGCTCATTTGGAATGGATCGGCATTCAAATCATACGCTTCAATATATTTCTGAAACAGCAAGAGCAATTAATTAATTTCACTTGAATGAATATATCTCTAGAATTATACTTACCGTATCGTCTTCAAAAATGCAAAAAATGTTGTTGTGCTTCTCTGAGAATCTTCGGACACAGGCGTACGTGTTGTTGGTAACATCCTGGCACTTGCAGCCAAGATTTTTATTGCAATGCTATCAACAAAAATAAAGAATATCTGATACACAATTCTGAGTCACAATTTTCTGTGAGAATCAGAAAGAATTTAACATGTCATCGCAAAATAGTTTGAAATTTCAATTTTTCTAATCATCAAACTTTCACATTTTCGAAAAATTCTACGAAATTTTGGGAACACTTTTAGAATAATATTTTTTCTCATACGATATGCATAGATTGATTGGAGCCTGATGAAGACCTATGGAGAGACCCCGAGAGAATAAAGCATAGAGTCATCGGTGAGTAGTTTGAAACTGTTTAAGACAATAAAACTCACTGATAAATTGAAATCATCGTCACTGGGGCATCCACTGTTGGGGCTTCCTATCGAATGTTCCCCCCTGTATTCGATCAAAACACTGCGATCATCAGAGATATTTTTACTGAGCATTGATGTACCGTCTGATACCGCTTCAGTTCCCCCCATTTCTAATATCGTTGAGAATAAATCAACGCTGCTCACTGGGGCCTTAACTTGACTTCCTGGAGTGATTCCTGGGCCACGAATCAATAGAGGAACTCGAATATCGCTTTCGTAGGGCTGTCGTTTGTCCATTGGCATGCTAAATTGACCTGAATCATCATCATCATCATCATCAAGGTCCATAAAAAACAGTCTCAAAAAATAAATTGAAATAGAATTTAAGGGTGCCAAGTGAATTTGGCGATGACCTTGAAAATTGACATTCACCAACAAAGTTATAATTTTTTAAATTAATAGTATTAGATAGATGGTGAACATCGGTGACAATTTTAAAATTTTAGAACTTATGGATATCGAGAAATTAAACAAACAAAATCAGTCTTATACACGGCCTCTTATGGAGTTTTGATTAAATTGAACGTTTCAACCCCCTAGGAACTCAAGAAAAATTTGAAAAAATTTGAAGGTATGGGGAATGATGTGTTCAATGTGATGGCGACAAAAAACAATGGGGTACCGGGGTGAATAAGAGAGATATTTCAACCCGCCTTACCCATTTGATCCCATGCTTTCTCGAGGTTCGTCACGCGAAATAGAGGATTTTCCGCATTTATTTTCTCGATGTCTAGTTCCGGTTGCGGGTTTGAAATTTCGTCGGATGGATGAATACATATTTCTCCAATGATGGAGGGAAAGAAAAAATTTTTTTTGAATCTTTTTTCAAATTCACTTGGCACCCTTAAGTCCTCACGTACGGTGGATTAAAAAATCATTTTCTCGAATTCTAAGAGACATATTGACATTTGGAAAAGATATTTGGAAAGTCAATGGAATTGTCTCTGCAGTGAACTATTTTATTTTATTTTTTTTTCAATGCATTTACAATATTTTTGTCTGTGAACAAAAGTTGTAAATGAAAATTTTACATCCAGCCGATTCAATCATATGAAATCATCTCGTTTATCGACAAAACTTCCCCCAAAAATTTTGAAATTTTTACTGAAAATACTTCAATGATCCTTCTATCGAATGGCAGAAGTTAAATTTCTATTTGTTGAATAATTTGTTTGTTATAAATAAATTTAGCATGTTCGAAGATCTCGGCAACCAATTGTCAGCAAACATTGAAATTGGTGTCAAAAATTAGGAAATTCTCTAGGAGTTTATTTCAAAGTTCAATACAGCCAATGCATTTTATTTCAATTTTTTTCATTCGATTGTTTTTAAGTTATCATTCATTGAATAACAGAGTTGACGTGTTGTAAAGTATGTGAGGGGTTAATGTCAATATCATAAATATTGAGAGGATTTACCTATGTGATACCCATTATCGGACGTAAAAATCATGTAAGTATCATCCAAAAGATGACTATTCTTCAAGGCTGTATACACTGTCATGACTAGATCATCAACAGCCAGCAATGTCTCCCAACGTCTTCTGTAAATGTCATCCAGAGTCAGGAGAACACTATTAGGCAGGGGAGATGGCCCCATTCGAACTAGCCAATGCTTATCCTTAATTCATAAAAAATAAACAGTAAAAACTTGCGAGTTAGTAGAGGATTACTGATAGAAATTCCCAGACTTACACTCTGCGCTTGAGTATTAAAGTTCAGTGTTCGTTTAGCTTTTTGCCTTTTATATCTATCGTTATGTCTGGCTGCTGGAGTCCAGGGCTCATGGGGAGCTGGAGGTGCCAGCACCATCAGAAATGGTCCTGAATTAGTGCTCCGCGTGTTTAAGAATGTCAAAGCTGCTTGTTTCTAAAGAAAATTGAAGTCATTTTTTTATACAATTCAAGAATTAAAAATATAAAAGACAGTTTTTGTTGGAAATCCCTAAAAACAGTTTGAAAATAAACTCAGAAAAAATCAAAAATGGATAGAAATCAGTAGCGAAGTGGTAAAACGGTTTGATTTCTCTCCAAGTTGAGTTTTTGAGGAATATTTCAAAATCTAAGGGAGATAGCGAAATTTTCGTAATCATATTTGTTGTAGCTCTCAATCGGCTCTACAAAAAAGGTTATAGGGGAGGTAGGGGCAAAGCGGACCCCCGGGGCAAAGCGGAACCCTTCGAAAAAAAAAAGTGTGGGGTAAAGTGGACCCTCACATAAATTATTGAATCGAGTCGCCAGAATTATTCTAATACGTTTTATAAAGTGAAATTTACTACCTTGACTAAAAAAATATGCAATGAGGGCAAGTATAAATTTGTGTGAGCTCCTGCGGATCTAATTGTGAACAAGAAATGTGAGTTTTTGATCAACAGCGATTACATTCTATCCAATCGGTAGAACAACATGACAATGACTCCTGACAAACGGAAAATTAAAATAATTTTTAAAAAACAGAGGGTCCACTTTGCCCCAACATTAATTTTTTTTTTAATTTAATGACAGATCTTAATTGCAATTCTAATGAGATTATGATCTCCACGTGAAGTGCATTGACTCATTAGAATTTAAAAAACTAAACGATTCGCTTAGAGGGTCCGCTTTGCCCCTACCTCCCCTAATAAAAATTTGGCTATCTCCCTTAGATTCCGAGATATTCATTGAAAACTGGCCAATAGTCAAAATTTACTTGAACCGTTTTACCACTTCGCTACTGAATTCAAGAGTTAAAAATATAAAAGACAGTTTTTATTGAAAATCGCCAAAAGCAGTTTGAAAATAAACTCAGAAAAAATTAAAAATGGATAGAAATCAGTAGCGAAGTGGTAAAACGGTTTGACTTCTCTCCAAGTTGAGTTTTTAAGGAATATTTCCGAATCTAAGGGAGATAACGAAATTTCGTAATCACATTTGTTGTAGCTCTCAATCGGTTCTACAAAAAAGGTTATAACAAAAATTTTGCTATCTCCCTTAGATTTCTCCATATTCATTGAAAACTGGTCAATAGTCAAAATTGACTTGTACCGTTTTACAACTTCGCTACTGAATTCAAGAGTTAAAAATATAAAAGACAGTTTTTGCTGGAAATCACTAAAAACAGTTTGAAAATTAACTCAGAAAAAATAAAAAATGGATAGAAATAAAAATTTCAAGGGCTCACGATAACATCAGTGAGATACTGATCAGGCGTATGTCCGTATTTCCTCTCAGTTCCATTTATGGACAACGAATAGTCGAAATATTTTGAATTTCCTACAAGTCCATACCACCAGTCCCACCCTGGGGGGATGTACTGAGGTCCCCCAGCTCCCCTGGAGCCATACTGCAACGAAAATAATTATTCCCTCAATATTTTGCTGCATTATTTTCCAACGCATACTGACTTCATTCAGATATTTCCCAGCATAGAAGGTAGTGTAGCCTATCTTCCCTTTTAAAATCGTTGCAAAAGTGTTTTCCTCGGAATTCCTTTGCCACGATCGGCTGCTGCAGCCACCGAAAATGGAGTTATTCACTGTATTATGGTTGTGCTGGTACCTTCCGGTCAAGATCGACGCACGGTTTGGGCAACAGATGGGCGAAGCAACAAACTTGAATGATTGCAATAATTAAATTCGATAATGAACAGTAAAAAAAAATCTGCAATTTGAAGAATAAATGGAGAATTCTGACGACTTACGCAGTTTTCATAGGTTGCCCCTTGACCCCCAATGAAAGTCTGTGTATTTTGTAATGGTTGCTATCATAACAAGTGGAAGAAAAAATATTAAATTTCACAGAAGATAATTTCAGCGTAAAAAAGCAAAAAGAACAGGGCAAAACGGATCGTTTAGCGTTTAAAAATCAATCAAAATGATTTTTCGTTTCCGTTTTCCCCCACATTTTATCATAATTCTCAGCTTGCCATTCCATCGAGAGTCAGATCTAAGTCATCAACCAGAACCATAACGATGTTTTTCCCCCAAGCCCCAGTCCCCAAGAACAAAATCATGAGGGCTTTCAGCAAATCCATAATTACTCATCCGAAATTTCCCAACTTTTCACAGAATTCTCTCAACAATCACAATATATCCACCACTGTTTTTTAGTGACCCGTAATACTGCGCCTAAGTTTTTGTAATACGAGACGATCCGAAGTCCGGGGGATCCCCAATCGACAGAAAAATAATGCTGAGCGCTTATTGTAAAGCGGACACTGTTGCTAAAAATAAAGAAACGACACTTATTTTCCAGCAAATTCGCATACAATGTCCAATTGATTTCATGTAATTTCTTATCACTTGATTTACTGTTAATCATTAATTATCCCCATAAAGTTTGATTTTGCGTCAATTATCAGGAAGGGAGGGTGGGGTAAAATGGTCACTTTTTACTTTTTTAAAAATATTCATAAGTCAGAAACAGATTTGTCAATTGAGTTCAGTAGACTAAGCCTATCACAAAGGGAAGAATTGTGCTTTCAATTGAAAAATAAAATTATTGCATCTCATGAATAATTCAACACGTCATGAGCATTTCAGAAAAAGTCAAAAGTGTCCATTTTACCCCACCCGCCCCTAATTAATAGGAAATAAATTTTATGAAATTATATTAATCTATCAATAATTCTCAGTTATCTGTCTGAAATCCTGAATCTTCCTTTGTTCAAAAATTCGTGAGAATCTTATGAAGAGCTTTTCTTTCAAATTATAAAATTACTGCATTACACCGTGGGAATCGTGGGAATTAAAATAAACGGACTGTAGATTGTAAAAGCACACTATAGCTGACGCCACATCGTGCCTCGCGAAGGCGTCATATGACCGGTCATAAAGTGGTCATGAGGCCCCAATGACCACCGGTCCGGTCACAAAAAATTTTTCCATGACGACCACAATTGGCAGAAAAACTGTGACGGTCATTTTGCATCTATATAGATGAAACACTTTTTTGTTAATCTATTTTTTTTTCTAATTAACTAGAACTCTTGACTTCGTTTATTTTGTTCCAAAGATGAAAAGTGTAATCATTCTCTCATGAGATGCCAAAATATAATATGTGTAAGCACATGTTTCATAATTTTATAATTAAAAAAAGCTGTTGTACAGTTGTACACATACATTTCGAGTCTTCCATAAGAACCTTATAATAAAGGATAATTGATAGGGGAGGTTGGGGTAAAAAGGACACTTTTGACTTTTTTTTAAATGTTAATGAGGGGTTGAAATGTTGATAAAATTTAATAGTTTTTTTGATAATCTTTTTTGATAGTCTTTGTGACGAGCCTGAACTGAGCTCAATTGATAAATTTGTTTCTGACTTACGAATAATTTTAAAAAAGTCTAAAGTGTCCATTTTACCCCACCCTGCTCCCCTAATCAATAATAAATTGAACAACTAAACTACGCCAATTATGTAGAAATTATATGACCGTCACAAAAGCAATATATTTATGACGGTCATTTTGCACCTATATAGATGGTTTGGTAACGGAAATGACTATTTTACTCTTTTGACGGTCAAAAATTCTTTGTGACGGTCACAAAAGTGACCTGCCATTTGAAATTTCTGGACGTCACATGACCGTCATTTTTCGGTCATATGACACAATCACATGACGGTCATTTCGCATCTCTGATCGTGCCCCCCCATCGCCGCCCTCTCCAGCACTGCATTTGTCGCTCACATGTGTCGGTTGTGCTGTTAGCATATTTTACCCATATTTATTCAAAGTATTTATTAAAACTTGGCCCAAAATGATTGTGTCGACTAATAAAAGCAATCCGAATGCCCTGAAATTGTTAATTGGAGGAGAAATCAGTGGAAATTCTGTTGACGTAAGAATTGTCCCGACCAATGGTAAGCGGCTTAACCTCAGCTCTCTGTTTCATCATCTTAATTACAACCCCATTCCATTATAAATACGAAATAAAATGCACATTCAGCACGAAATTAATGACCATTTCGATATTCAGATAGTCCTCTGGGTCGTCTGCCCACTCTAAAATTGCCCAATGGAATAACCTTGATAAGCTCCAACGCAGCATTGCAGTATCTAGTGCCAGGGGATGAACAACAAGATGTTCTTGTGAATAAATGGCTTGAATGGGACTCGACGCAACTGCAGGTACAATTTTTCTTAACATTTTTCCCAAAGTTTGTTCATCGCGAAAATTAGTAGTCGCAGGTAAAATAGCGCGAGACTTTTTTTTGCAGAAAAACAATTATCTAGAAAAAGATTATTAAAAAATTTTAAATATACTTTAGTTAAAGAGCTATTTTCAAAATAATCTCTCAATTTATCTTGGGAGACGTGACAAGTCACACTTGACCTTTTTTTTATCAAATTTGTCTTGAGGATTAGCATTTTTAGGAAAAAAAATTAGAAGACTTTTTTGGTCAGAATTTTCAAACTTAAAACTATTGAAATAGAACGACATGAGTTGATTATAAATTTCATTAATTGCCATTCAAGTGAACAACGAGTGATTTTATAGCGAAAATCAAGTAATACTTCTTTTATCTGAAATTTTCTATAAAAAGTCTCGTCATTTTTTCCTAGGGCTGGGAGGTAGTGGGGCAAAATAGCCACTCAACTTTTGTCGAAATGCTTCTCGTTGAGCTTAAAATGTCTCCAATTGTTCAATTTCTTCCTGAGTTACGAAAATTGGAAAAAAAAATCAAAACTGTTCATTTTACCCCATGCGCCCCTGATAATTACCAAGCCAATCTATCTTTAACGATACCCAACAATAAATCATCATTAGGGATGGGCCATGTTTTAAAAAACATCGATGTTGTGAATCGATTTTCGGAGAACAAACATCGCTCATTTAAAAAATCGATGTTTTTCTCATTACACTGGAGAAAAAACAAATATTTTTAAATAATTTTTTTCTTCTCGTTTTTATTGAAAAATATATATTAAAAAAATCCAACCCGAGGACCTCACGTTTTAATGATAAATACTGTGGGAGAGTTCAATCTTGAATCTTGAAACGGGGTTTTTAAATAAATGAAGAAAATATATTGAATATTTTCCGTTAGCTACAATAATGGTTAAAAATTTTAATCACAAAAAAATTGAAAAATTTCCATTCAAAAAAATAATAGACGACCTAATTTGTTCTCTTATCATTTATAACATACATAGGGGAGGTTGGGGTAAAACGGACACTTTTGACTTTTTTTTAAATTTTAATGAGGGGTTGAAATGTTGATAAAATTTAATAATTTTTTTTTCGATACGAAGAACAATTCTTTCCTTTGTGACGAGCCTAAACTGAGCTCAATTGATCAATTTGTTTCTGAGTTATGAATAATATTTTGATTATTCTCAATCAGTCAACATTATTCTTCGACAAAAGAACTGAAAAATTTAGTAAGCTTGGTCAAAAACATCATCGTTTGGAAAAAAGAACCTAAAATCGATTAATCGGCCGTTCAAAGCATCGACTGAAAGCCGTCGATGTTAGCGGATTAAAACCCCCGGTTTTCGATAAATCGACACACATCGCCCATCCCCAATGATCATTTGCGACAATCAATCACAAATAAACAACTCCCCATCAAAAACCAAAGGAAAGTAACAAATTGCCCCACAATTCTCCTCCACAGCCAGCAGTGGTCTCCTACGGGAGTTCCGGCTCCCTCGACACGTCCCACAAGCCGCGAATCTGGTCGCTCCTAACCCAGCTAAACACCTCCCTAAAGTCCCAAAAGTACGTAATAACCGCCTCCCCAACCTCCGCGGACATCGCCATCTTCTCCACCCTCTGGTGCACCATCACCGTGACAGAGATCTCAAAGGAGCTCTCCACCGAGTTCCCCCACGTGGACCGATGGCTGAAAGACCTTGAGGCCCTCCCAGCGATGCAGTCCCCCCTCTCGAAACTCCCCCTCCTCGACCTCGAGCGCGGCCTCAAGTCCATCTCCAGCCTCCACACATCCACCTGGTTTCCCCTCAACTCCTACACCGGCGTCCGCAGCCAAAAGCCCCCCCAAGACGTGAATACCCCATCGTCCCCCACCAAAGAGCCAGAAACAGCGATAACCAAACACGAGCTCGAGACCTCGAGGAACAACTGGTCGAGCCCTGCGCACCCCTCGATAAAGCCCCCGACATACCCAGTCCTTCCAAAGCAAAACGAGCGAAATATCTTAATCACATCGGCCCTTCCCTACGTCAACAATGTCCCCCACCTAGGCAATATTATTGGCTGCGTCCTGTCAGCAGACGTCTTCGCGCGTTACTGCCGGCAACGTGACTACAACACCCTCTACATAAGCGGAACCGACGAGTACGGAACAGCGACCGAAGCCAAAGCCCTCGAAGAAAACATGACGCCCCAAGAGATCTGCGACAAATACTTTGGCATTCATAACGACATCTACCGCTGGTTCAACATTGGTTTCGATTACTTCGGGAGGACAACAACACCCGAACAAACCGAGATCGTCCAGGAGTCGTTTCTCCGCATCAAATCCCAAGGATACATAATAACTGAGAGCGTTGATCAGCTTCTCTGCGAACACTGTGATCGTTTTCTCGCCGACAGGTTCGTGGAGGGTACCTGCCCTGGGTGTAAATACGAGGACGCCAGGGGTGATCAGTGCGACGGCTGCGGCCACCTTGTCAACGCCACTGATTTGATAAACCCCAGGTGCAAAGTTTGCTCGAAAACGCCAGTGATAAAAGCATCCAATCAGTTTTTCCTGGATCTGCCCAAGATTCAGCCGAACCTCAAGGAATGGGCCTCCAAAGCCGAGAAATTTTGGTCGAATGTGGCTAGGGCTGTGACGAGGCCCTGGCTGAGAGATGGGTTGAAACAGAGGTGCATCACGAGAGACTTAAAATGGGGGATTCCAGTTCCCCTCGAGGGATTCAGGGACAAAGTCTTTTACGTCTGGTTTGACGCACCACTGGGATACATCAGCATCACCAAGAGGTATACTCAGGAGTACGAGAGATGGTGGAAACCCAGGGAAGACACCAAAGTCGATCTGTACCAGTTCATGGCCAAGGACAATGTTCCCTTCCACGCCATCATGTTTCCTGCCACATTGCTCGCTGCTGATCAGGGCCACACGCTTGTAAAGCACATCATGGCTACGGAATATCTCAACTACGAGGACACAAAGTTCTCAAAGTCCCGGGGAATCGGGGTCTTCGGTACTGACGCCAGGGAGACGGGAATTCCCGCTGATGTCTGGAGATTCTACCTGACGTACATCAGGCCTGAGAGCCAGGACTCAAACTTCAACTGGGTGGATCTTGCCACCAAGAATAATTCCGAGCTACTGAACAATTTTGGTAATTTTGTCAATCGGGCGTTGACATTCGCTGTGAAGAACTTCAAGGGAGTTGTTCCAGAGATGGAGATTAGGGAGGAAGATCTTCAGGTTTTGGCTCTCGTGCAGAGGGAGTTGAGTCAGTATATTGTGGCGATGGAGCAGGGAAAATTCAGGGATGGAGTGAGGCATCTGCTGGCGATATCCAAGCATGGGAATCAGTACATGCAGTCGCAGCAGCCCTGGGTTTTGATTAAAGAGAAGGGGAAGGACCGAGTGAGGGCTGCAGGAACGGTTATCGGGGTTTGTTGTAATATCAGTTGTCTTCTGTCGGCGCTGCTGGGGCCCTTCATGCCGGAGACCTCGCGGGAGCTCAGAAAGCAATTGGGCCTTGATGGAAGCACCTATGGCTACATTCCCGATACGGTTTCCATTCTCCTGCCAACGGGGCATCAGCTGGGGGAGGCCTCACCGTTGTTCAGTAAGATTGAGGAGTCGGTGGTGGAGGAGTTGAGGAAAAAGTACGCCGGCAAGCAGGAGAATGGCAACAATGGGACAAGGGCTGGTGAGAGTGTCGAGGAGCTGCAGGCGCTAATTGCTGCCCAGGGGGTGAAGGTCAGGGAACTCAAGGCCAAGACCGACAAGAGTGTCTGGCAACCGGAGGTCCAGATTCTACTGCAGCTGAAGGGAAAATTAGCGAAGATGACGGAGTCTTCGGAGGGGACTGTTAATACAGCGACTATTGGGGTCGAGAAACAGGTCAATGGACCCACTCAGAATGGAAAAAATGAGTATGATATTGCTGCCTTGGAGGCTGCCATTGCTAGACAGGTTGGTGATTGTTAAAAATTTTTAGGCATTGTACTGTTTTTGGGCAAATGTAAATTTAAATTTTAAGAATCAATTCCGAACAATTTAAATTGATCACTTTAGTGTAGAGTCAATTTCATTATTTTTAATTATTTTTTGGGATTCTACGCCAACAACGTACTCGTCGTTAATCCTGGGGTACCCTGAGAACTGGTGAGGTTGGTTAAATACCTCACTACACTGAGAGAAAAACCACAAAGTTCTCAAACAAGTCTTACTTGTGCCAAGAAAATAGTTTTTGAAAATTATCAAAAAAGGATTTTTTTGTGCCAAATATGGAGAGTGCGCCGGAATGAAAAATTTTTGTCTCAAAAATAGATTTAGTAGTTGGTAATAATCACAGACAACAAATTAACCCTTAAATGAAACAATAATAATGACATGATCGCAATCTTGTAAATTATGGATAAACTTGAATTAATTTTTCATTATGAATATCACGGAATGCAAGAAGAAAATTAAATTTTCGTGGGGGATTTATTAAAAGGCACCGTTTGGTGTGAATTATTCGCCTCTTGAGCCAAATATTTCGTTGCTGTCGAAAGCAGAACAATTATTCATGTTTGATACTCAAATTCGAATCAAACAAATTTTTTTTTGCTATTTTCAACTAGTGATTTTGTTAGCCCAAACAAGATTTATTTGACAACGTGTTTGTTTTTCTCTCAGTGTACCTATAAAGGAGAATGACTCAGAACGATGGAATTTATATTGTGTAATCTAGTTCAGGATAAAGGACAATTCCACACCTCATAATACTTGTATAAATTCGAGTTTATGAGAGCGACCGTTTCTAATACATTTCCCGTTAAAACCCGAAAAAACACGTTAATTCAATATATAAAATCATTAGGGGAGGGTGGGGTAAAACGGACACTAGACTTTTTTTAAATTAATTCGTAACTCAAGAACAAATTGATCAATTGAGCTCAGTTCAGGCCCGTCACAAAGGGAAATTATTAAATTTTAGCAACATTTCAACCCCTCATTAACAATTAAAAACAAGTCAAAAGTGCCCGTTTTACCCCAACCTCCCCCAATAAACCATTTATAAATTAAAAAGTAAGTTACTGTATGATGCTAATTTAAGCATCATTTTATAAGTTTCAATTTCATTCTTATTCATAGTTCTTCATCAATGAAAAAACTTCAGCTACAACATGTTTGACAACTGCATCTTACAGTTGCCAATCAAGTCAAAGTTCTCGCTCTTGTCACCAAACAGCTAAAAAATGTCACATTTTCCCCTATTCTAACAATAATTTTTATCTTCCCTAGGCACTGTTCGTACGAGATCTCAAAGCCAGCGCCGACAGAAGTGTGTGGCAGCCCGAAGTGAACACTCTCCTAAAATTGAAGAAAGAACTGAGTGATGCGACTGGTGTGATAACACCAAATCCGGGTGACAAGAAGTCAAAGAAGAAGAAGTAGATTAAATTATTATTAATGGTTTGTCTTGCTCATAAATGAGCCGCGCAGCATTGTTGTTTCGGCGCAATGTGACCGGTTGACCCCCGGCACTCCCACACGTTCAAGTGTGAAAATCACGTAAACAATAAACAAATGAATTTTTTTTTAAAGTGAATCAATGAATTCTCAAAATGCTGTTGAAACATTTATACCTTCTTCACAGTATTAAATAAGCCCTGCACTGAAAATAAAATAATGTTATTTATTCTGTATTTACACAGGAAATATTAAAGTTTTTTTTAATCATTGAAATTAATGAGAGATATGTAGTTGTTGGAATTATTAATCGAATAGATGTATAAATAGGAAGATAATTCGACAGTGACTAGCATGAGAATGTTTTTTTTTTCTAATAATAACGAATTTCGTTTCACTCGAGGGCGAATGGAGGCGACTGATGGGTCGTCAAGTAAAATTTCCCACGCAATCTGAAAGTAGAATAAATAAAGATGATGCCTATCTGTATTTGAGAGTTATCGATTATTCTTACGATGTGACCGCGTACTCGCCCATCAAGGCAATACGATTGTAATTGCATTTTTCCTCTTTGTACTTCTCCCAATTATCGCAATGCCTTGCTCTGAACCCATTCGCATTGCCAATACTCTCTGTCATGAATTGATGGGCTCTCGAGTGACTGCAATACGCTAGAATGTCAAGTTAAAAATAAAAATGATGTCAATTATGGTAACAATTATCGAATAGAGATATTTCCTCAATTATCTGTTTGTTTTTTTTTTTAAATCGTTACAATGATTTTCTCTTATTTCAACAAGATCAATGCATGAGGAATGCCACAGATGAATAGTTTCACAGATCAATAGTTTTGTTTTTTAAAAGGCTTTGGGTTTAAAAAAACTACTGAAATGCGGGAACATCTTTGCGCCACGTGGTTGACAAATTCGAGGGTCGCCATCTTGCACCGATACCCCTTCCCCCTGTCGGAAGGGATTTCAAAAATGCCGGCGCCCCCACCTCGTCTTTTCAAACATTTTTAAAAAATATTCATCTTCTTGAGTTCACCCTCCACTCGCTTCGTTCAGTTTCCATAAAATGAACGAATTTTTTAAGCCATCTTTCAGCTTTTTCCGTATTCTATTGACCGAGAATTCACAGTGCAAAGCTTTTTCCGCGTTCCGTAGTTTTTTTTTTACCCCAGAAAGGGAATAATTCAGTAGCGAAGTGGTAAAACGGTACAAGTCAATTTTGACTATTGAGCAGTTTTCAATGAATATCTCGGAATCTAAAGGAGATAGCAAAATTGTTGTTATAACCTTTTTTGTAGATCTGATTGAGAGCTACAACAAATGTCATTATGAAAATTTCGCTATCTCTCTTAGATTCGGAAATATTTCCCAAAAACTCAACTGGGAGGTGAATTGACTTAAACCGTTTTACCACTTCGCTACTGAATTACGTCACATCTTTTAGAAATGATTCTACACAAATAATCGAATGTAAAAAAAATGTCTGGAAACATCCCTATTATTCTTACTGGTGGTTGGTTGAAATGAACACCCTGGCTGTGGAAATTTCCCACTATTCGGGTAGAAATCGGCATGTCCAATAGGTGCAAGAAATCCAAATGCCGAACCACTGGTGTGAATTATGTCCACAAATTGTGCATCAGTTGGATCTAGTCTCGAGTCTGGATGGACAAGACCATGAATAGTTTCGAATAGAGGACTTGCGGGATCAAGGCCTTGAAATTCATCAACATAAAGATAAAATTCATCAACATGATAAAATTCATCAACATCATCGTAGCAAGTGCATGTAAACCTGTTATTCTGCCGACTCTACCCTTCAAATTAGCCCCAGCAAAGCCAGCAACGTGCGACCCCAGACTGTGACCGCAGATATGAACGTCTTTAAACTCCAAATTGGACTCTCGATTGAGAAACATGAGAAAATCGGAGAGATAATCTCCGATTTTTTTGGTGTTGTTGGCTGCTGTGGGATAGGCAACAGCCGCTGCTGTACCCCATCCCACGACGATTACGTTGACATTCTTGTGCTTCAGGTAAGCTTAACAATCATTAATAGAACAATTCAGTAGCGAAATGGTAAAGCGGTATAAGCCAGTTTTGACTATTGGCCAGTTTTCAATGAATATCTCGGAATCTAACGGAGATAGAAAAATTCTTGTTACAAGCTTTTTTGTAGAACCGATTAAGAGCTACAAAAAATGTAGTTAGGAAAATTTCGCTATCTCTCTTAGATTCGGAAATACTCCTCAAAAACTCAACTGGGAGGTGAGTCGACTTAAACTGTTTTACCACTTCGCTACTGAATTCAATCGAGATGAATGACTAATTCAAATTTATAAGACACAGTTTGAGACTGAAACCCATTGACACGAATTACCATCCAATAAATCATGGATCCAGGCCTCATTTCCCGTATCACTGAATCCATGAACGATGAATTTCGTTGGACGACTCTCGTTGAAATGCGATGCATACAGAACCTCTGTATTATTCATGAATAATTCCTCCTCTCCGAACGGATTCTCTCTAAAATAAGCAGACAATCATGAAGGCAAATACTAATTATTCTATTGATATCATCGGGCGTGACGCACTGATTTCCTGGCGCCTCGATTCTTTCAATTCTCATCAACGACTTATTCTTTATTTTCAGCCCTTATCAAATTGAATGAGAAAAGAGGCATGTCCGTGAGATATTCAGAGATGATACCGAGTGTCAGCGCTCAAAATAGCCATTACCATCGAATCTCCAGTTCATGTGAATCACAATAAAAATTGACAGGTCACCGATTGTGATAATTGACTTGAATTAATTTTTCATTATGAATATCACGGAATGCAAGGGGAAAATTAAATTTTCATGGGGGATTTATTCGTGAAAAAGAGTATATATCAAACAGCCCCTCGACATCTCCCTTTTTTCATTACTAAATTCACTAATTCACTGATAAATCAATTAATTCATTAGATAAATTATTACCTACCTCGTATATAAATGAAATTCCACCAATTCCATGGAATTTCCGTTAACGGTCTCAACGTCATTGAGCAAAACAGTTGGTGGAGCACATTGCACTAAAAAAATATGCAATATTTTGAAAACATTTACGAATAACGCTCAATTTCTCTCTGCTATATTACCGAGAACTACTGTTAATCCGAGAGCAACAAGTCTCCCTAAAAGTCTCATCTCCCTGACGTCCATCCCGGCAACTGGATGACTGTCGTAACCGACACCGAGATACTTGGGCGCCTACAATCTCCCGCGAAATTTCTGCGTCACATTTTTTTCGATACACTCCGGTGATAAGAATACTCGGTAAATATCTCAAAAACATTCTCCATCGCGTGTTATTGACGACAGAAAAGACGTGTTTCTCAACATTTTCGAAAAAATTGAAGTTAAATTTCAATTTAGGGAAATTTCAAACATTTCCAAGTGCAAATGACTTTGCACATGACTTAAAAATACTCATACACCCCTAGATTCGCCTAAGACAATTCAGCAGCGAAGTGGTAAAACGGTACAAGTCAATTTTGACTAGTGACCAGTTTTCAATGAATATCTCGGAATCTAGGGGAGACAGCAAAATTGTTGTTTTAACATTTTTTGTAGAGCCGATTGAGAGCTACAAAAAATGTTATTACGAAAATTTCGCTATCTCCCTTAGATTCGGAGATATCCCCCAAAAACTCAACTGAGAGATAAGTCGAATTAAACCGGTTTACCATTTCATCTCTCGCGAAAATTTCATGTTATTCCAGAAAATGTGTAGCCCCCGGGGAAAGTTTATATTTCGTATTCAGTAATTTTTAATGAAAAATCCCAGAAAACGGCCAGGATACATATTTTTCATATTCAATATGAAAACGTGCATTGCAAAATTTAAATTTCATATTTCAATGTCTTCGCCCCCACGCAGTGATGTCGATAACTCCCTCAAACATCTTCTTTACCTGCCTCGCAGTGAGGGTCGCCACTTCCTTGCGAATTCTTTCCGGGAAGCGTCGCGCGTTCCTCCGTCCCACCACCATAACCCCCATCAGTCGTACACAATAAAAACAACAACAGTCTAAATAAAATCCAGTGGAAAGCACCCCCCAGTGAGACAATCAAATGCTAGTGCTCTGACAATGGAAACCAACAACAATAGCCCACCGAAGCCAGTGATCTTGGTTGATCTCGAGGACGACGATGACGAGATAATGGTGCTGCCTCCACCGACCACATCCTCCCAGCAAGAAGAGCAACTCCAAACCCTGAAGAGCATTGAATCAAGAGATGAAGCTACAGCGACTCCAAAGAACCCCAACCCCCAGAGGAAGATGATCCAGCAGTGCTTGGCGTTGCTCCTCCACGCCCAGAGATGTGATATCCTTCAAGAGGAGTCCAGCGAGGTGCAGATCAAGTGTGTCCAGCCCCACTGCAGCAGCATGAAGGACCTCCTGAAGCACCAGGAGAGCTGTCAGACGAATCAAAAGTGCAGTGTCCCACGCTGCAGCTCCTCCAGGATGATCCTGAGGCACTGGGACAATTGCAAAAGAGAGGATTGTCCATTGTGTTCACCACTGAGACAAAAATTCAATGTCCAGGGGCCCCCAGAGGCTCAGAAACCAGAGAAAGTCCCAAAAAAATCAAAGACTCCATCGTTTGTACCTCCAATTTTTGGAAATGACAGTCAACTCCTGCCGAATCCCTTCGCAGCTTGTCGTTCTAGACGAAGCTTTGAGGGAGAATCCTGGGACGACGACCCTGTGGAGGTCCCACTCAGTCCAAAAAGTGGGTCTGGGGTGGACAAACGACTGGGGAATGTCTCTCTGATTGCATCAACTCCAAAAACTGGTGGACATTCAAGGCCTCATTTTGACTGGGTGTCAGCCATTTCGAGATTCAAAACGCAGTGGAACCCCTCGCAGAACAATTCCAAGGGGCGTTCACATGAATCGAGACAGAATAAAGGATCTAGACACAGGAATTTGTGTAATTCAAGATCTAGGAATTATTCGTCGAACGAGAAGAGATCGTTTCGTCCAGAATCCCAAAGTCAGTCAAAATCTACGTTCACTTCAAGGCTAGATGTGCAATCCCCAAGAGCTTCCTTTGATTCAAGAGCAAATGAATCATCAGTGGCTGCTTGTGAACCCAAAGAGACTGACCAAATGAAAACGAGGCAAGAGCAGATGCTGATGCTGGTGCACGCATTCAAATGCAGGAGGAATGACTCCGAGGGATTACCACCCAGATGTATGAATCCCACCTGTAGGAGCACGAAACATCTGCTGGATCACATGAGGGACTGCGAGAGAACACTAGACTGCTGGGTTCCACGTTGCATCTCTTCGAAAAGAATTCTCATTCATGTGAATGAGTGCAGGGACGAGGAGTGCAAGCTGTGCTCACCTTTGGCGAGTTCACGCAGTGGAGAGTCTACGAGGGGGACTTCATGAAATGTTGGAGTTGAACATTATTGAAGATGAGTTCAGTGGTGAAGTGGTAAAACGGTACAAGTCAACTGTGACGATCGACCAGTTTGCGAAGTGGTAAACCGGTGCAAGTTAATTTTCACTATTCGGTGAATATCTCGGAATCTAAGGGAGATGGCAATATTTTTGTTATAACCTTTTTTGTAGAGCCGATTGAGAGCTACAACAAATGTCATTACGAAAATTTCGCTATCTCCCTTAGATTCGGAAATATTCCCCAAAAACTCGACTGGGAGATGAGTCGAATTAAACGGTTTTACCATTTCGCTACTGAATTCATCCCGGACTACTCACCCCAAACCAATTCATCCCAAAACAAATCAATCCCGCGACAATTTCATCCCAAACATCAAAGTCCAATGGAATTTTTCACGGTCATAACGATAATTCGGGGAGAGAAAAATATTAACTTTGTTTTCACAGAAAAAGGCAGTAAACACAACTTCAAAATCAGTCAGATACTTCACGATTGCCTTGTAGTATTGTTTGCACAGGCGAACAACGGATTAACAGGAAACATTGCAAAAAAATGGTCAAATCATTCTTATTCATCTCAACTTACATTCACCAGATAGGCCACAAGTAATAGACCACAGCATCAATTTACAAAATCAGTACAAAACTTGAAAATTAATCCGACAAGTCACGCGCTTCAGCCAAGCGTATTCTTCATCGAAATAGTAATAATAAAAAACATGGGATGGAACTGTCGTGGGATGAAATTGTTTGGGATGAATTCACTAGCAAAGTGTTCAAACCGTTTAAGTCAATTTAGCCTTTAGGTGAGTTTTCCAGAAATATTTCCGAATTGAAGGGAGATAGCGAAATGTTCATAATAACCTTTTTTGTAGAGCGAATTGAGTGCTACTAAAAAGCTTATGACAAAAATCTTGCTATCTCCCTTAGATTTCGAGATATTCATTGAAAACTGGCCAATAGCCAAAATCGACTTAAACCGTTTGACCACTTCGCTACTGAATTATCCGGATACCAATATCTCGGAATCTAAGGGAGACAGCAAAATTTTTGTTATTACCTTTTTTGTAGAGCCGATTGAGATCTACAACAAATGTAATTACGAAAATTTCGCTGTTTCCCTTAGAGTCCGAGATATTCCTCAAAAACTCAACCGAGAGATAATTCGACTTAAACAGTTTTACCACTTCGCTACTGAATTCTATGAGCTTGAGAGAAATGAGGAGAACGAGAAGAGAAAGATCGTTTCATTTTTGTTGTACTAAAAACTGAAAATAACTAAAGAGCACAACAACGTCGTTTTCATTGTTTTGAAAACTAAGATGAGCTTGATTGGTACTTTAGTAATTTTTCATGAATATCTCGAAAATAGGAAATAGAAATTTTTGTCCTCTCCTGCGTTCGGAGATATTTTCCAAAAACTAGAGTCAGATAAACTTGAGTCATTCCACGTCTTTACCACTTGAATAAATGCTGTATTATCATTATTACCAACAGTTGTACGAAAATTATTATTATTTTTATATACGTGAACTCTGATACTTCTTAAACAACTGAACTGTGAAATCATAAATAAAATATAGAATTGTTCCTCGTAATCTCGTGATTATTATTCATCCCCGATCGACGAAAAAGCAAAAAAAAATTATTTGAAATATGTGTAGTAATTTTCTTGCTAAATTTCCAAAACAATTGGTCCTTGAAAACTTGAGTATTCCCAATGACGACGTGAATGAGAGGAAAGAACCATCGTACGCGATAATCCACTGCAAGCTCAACGATTTGACAAATGTAGAGACACCTGAGAGCAACAGCAACAGTAGCGATCCAGCATTATTGCTCATTGTCCCGAATAATTCAGTGCAAGTGGATACTTGTGTCCAATGCAACTGCGATGATCCCCAGAATCTTAACGCAGTTGAAGACAAGAGTTGTCAAGACTCCGAATCAAAATTCAACGTAATTGCCACGAGAACAGATGAATCAAGCGAGAGTTATTCACAAAGTGATGATGGGGATGAGAAGTCCGATGTTGAGTGCACCCTGGCCATCATCAAGCCAGGAGCGCTGGAGTATAAGAACGCGATTAGAAAGAGGATTATTGACGAGGGCTTCGAGATCTGTGCGGAGAGGACTGTCCAGTTGACTCTGGAACAGGCAGCTGAATTCTACTCCAAAGAATATGGGAAATTGCATTTTCCGTTGCTCGCGGTTTATCTGTCCTCTGGACCTATTGAGGCCCTTGTTCTTGCGAAGAGCCGAGGTGTGAGGGAGTGGAGGAAAGTTATGGGGCCGGAGGATGTAATTTTACTCCATTATTTTTGGTTCTGAGGAGTGGGGGGAATAGATGCGTTCACTTAGGGGAGGTTGGGGTAAAACGGACACTTTTGATTTTTTTAAATTTTCATGAGGGGTTGAAATGTTGATAGAATTTAATATATTTTTTTTTCAATACAAAGAACAATTCTTTCCCTTTGTGACGGGTCAAAATTGAGCTCAATTGATCAATTTGTTTGAGAGTTATGAAGAATTCAAAAAAAGTCTAGTGTCCGTTTTACCCCACCCTCCCCTAATTGAAAATATTTATCAATATTCATAAAAAATTCAGTAGCGAAGTGGTAAACAGGGGTCCCCATCAATATTAAATTTCTGTAGAATTACAAGGATTTGACCCTTACATTGTTGAAGGTTTAAAAAATGTTGATTCAATTTTTCAAATAATATAATATTAATAATCTGATTTTTTACGAATAATGATATATTTAAAATTTCTTAATGTGAAACTGTAAATTTACTACTAAATGAATAATTCAAATTTCTTGAAAGGGGATTTTCGATTACACAATAATCGTCAATCTTTCTACCTCGATTACTGATTGATGAAATAGTTGAGAATTTGAATATTTGAATTTATGATATTTAAGTAGGGGAGGTTGGGGTAAAACGGACACTTTTGGTTTTTTTTTAAATGTTAATGAGGGGTTGAAATGTTGATAGAATTTAATATATTTTTTTTTCAATACAAAGAACAATTCTTTCCCTTTGTGACGAGCCTAAACATTCATTAAATTTCTGATTATTTAATATTTCCATTGAGAAGGTAAAGAAAGCCAAACTATATTTCCCGAATAGTATCCGAGCGATATATGGAGGGAATGGTGACGATGTGCAGAATGTTGTTCACGGGAGTCTCGCGACTGAAGAAGCAAGAGACGAAATTCTCTTTTTCTTCCCCAATTGTAAGAGAAATCATTGTAATTTTACAAATGGCTCGAGTACGTGAGCTCTTTTATTTTGTAGTTATCATTGAGCCAATGCTTCCGAGCGAATGTATTCCAGATTATTTTAAAAAGAGTCTCAATCCTGTCTTGATTGACGGTCTCGCTCATGTGAGTAAGAAATCTATTCATACGAAGTGATAATGCTCTATTTCCGTAGTTAATTGTAACTTTCAGTATTTAATTTCACTGCTATTTTCAGTTGGAGAAGGAAAAACCTGCTGAGCCCTTGCTCTGGTTAGCCAACTGGCTCATGGAAAATGATCCGGATAAACCAAAGATCATTAAATAATCCTGAATTTAGTGAAACGAAAATCGCATTCTTCGTTCGCACAAATTTTTAAAGGACAAAATTTCCAGCGACGTTTGTCTCGCAAAATTACCGGAGATAATTTATGGAATTCATCGGTAATTAAAAATTAGCTCGCAAATGGATGCATAAAGATTCAATCACTCACCGGTGTTGGATGAAAACAACAGCTCCGTTTTCACCTCTCCAACCGCCTACCTGGATTGTAATCCATGGGGTTTCATCCTCTCGACTGCACTTGCACTCACAAAAAATCACTTTTTCCCCACCAATGACAAAATGAATAAATAAATAAATAAATAAATAAAGGAAATAGATCCAGAGCCGAAACGAAAAAATCATTCCCTCGAAATTCCCATTAAAATCGACACTAGAACCCTTGAATATAATATGGTCTTGAAGTTTGCTGACAAACAACTTCAACAGAGCATATCTCATCAGGAAATGAGGTAATTTGAAAATTTCCAATTTCATTTTGTAGATTAAGAAAAATTTTACTCGTGATAGCTTTCGAATGTACAGACATGATTCTTTTAAGCACTGTTANAATATAATTCCACCCAACACATATTCCAAATGGCACGAATTGAAACAAAGACTGCCGGCCGGCGTCGTTAGTCACTCGAGTCGACTCTCACAACAGAAAACTCACTGTACGTCCGATAAACATAATTATTTCCCAAGAATTCTCACAACAACACAACAAAGAAAAAGTATTCCCTCCAAATTGATTAATTTTCCCCATCAAAATTGGCACTAGAACTCTTCAATGTCTTTCCACTCAACACATTTTCAAAATGGAACATATTAAGCCAGTTGTAAACACCCCTCTGCTTGCTTGAAAACCATAAACATCTCTGTTGAGAAACAAAAGATGCCGGGCGACATTGTCAGTCCCCTGAGTCCATTCTCGCACTAGACAACTCACTATTTGTCCTATCAAAATCATTGTTACAACAAAAAATACCTCGAGTGCAGCCTCTGTTGTGATTCCGTGGAAGTTTGAACCCGATGCCGGTGCCCCACGTTCATCAGGTCGACTATTTTGCGGAATTTAACGCGAGAGAGGCACGAAAACCCGCCACGAACATCCACGAAGCAACCGACTCCCGCCAACGAGGAATGGCCGATGTCTGTCGATTAATCGAAAACCTCGATTTTTCATGCCCAAACATCGACGTTATTCATTCGATGTTTTGAACGGCACTTAATCGATTTTCGATTCTTTTTTCCAAACATCGATGTTTCCGACCAAGCTAACAAATTTTTTTTCGTCGAAAATAGTATCTTATGTCATAAGGCGATAAAAGTATTATTAGCGAATGTGATTATAATCACGAATTAAAACAAAGACTGCCGGCCGGCGTCGTTAGTCACCCGAGTTGACTCTCACAACAGAAAACTCACTGTTCGTCCGATAAACAAAATTATTTCCCAAGAATTCTCACAACAACACAACAAAGAAAAAGTATTCCCTCCAAATTGATTAATTTTCCCCATCAAAATTGGCACTAGAACTCTTCAATGTCTTTCCACTCAACACATTTTCTAAATAGAACATATTAAGCCAGTTGTAAACACTCCTCTGCTTGCTCGAAAACCATAAACATCTCTGTTGAGGAACAAAGGATGCCGGGCGACATTGTCAGTCCCCCCGAGTCCATTCTCGCACTAGACAACTCACTATTTGTCCTATCAAAATCATTGTTACAACAAAAAATACCTCGAGTGCAGCCTCTGTTATGATTCCGTGGAAGTTTGAACCTGACGCCGGTCCCCCACGTTCGTCAGGTCGACTATTTTGCGGAATTTAACGCGAGAGAGGCACGAAAACCCGCCACGAACATCCACGAAGCAACCGACTCCCGCCAACGGCGCCAGCAGCAGCTCGCCACCAACATGGCGTCAACTTGGGGGTTGGAGGCTCGCGCATACGCGCAGCTACTGCGCTACTGAGCATGCGCAGACACATTCATGTCGTAATAATCATAAAAATAAAGGGAAATGATCTGTTGTTGAATAGTAAACATTAAAAGGCATTCCCATAAACAGAAAAATACAAAGAAATAAATAAATAATTTATTTGATTTCACTTAATGCTGCGCACACGTGCGATTAATTATTAATTAAGGGCCGAGTATTTGTGAGTAGTGTCAAGTGACATAAGGGGTTAACATTTTGACAGTGTCAGTAACAATGTCTCCAGAGCCAACTCAAGAGCCGATTGAGCAAAACCTGAAAGCCCCTAATTTAAATGTTGAGGAACCAGCTGCTGATTCAGACAGCGAGGATGAGGATTTCGGAGCTGCTGGCTATGTGCCACTGTCGCAGGTGCCAACTGACGGTGATACTCTCCTAGATGACGATGAGGTATTTACCCTTTTCCCTCATTAATAAAAAACAAATGAAATTGCATTAAATGATAGATCATGCCCTGAAGGAGAAGGGGAATAGACCTTCCTTAATCATCAATATCTCCCGACCCAACGATCCGATCTGAAAAAATCAGGCCTCATTATCAAGCTTAAAAAAATACCCTCAAAATGGAAAAAAAATTGTTCAATTTCACTCTGCCAATCTCGAGATAACTCAGATAAAAAACGCCCTATTTCACTCACTTTACGTTTCTTAGTTTATTTATTACACTGAGATAAAAACGACAAAGTTCTCAAACAAGTCTTACTTGTGCCAAGAAAAAGTTTTTTTGAAAATTATCAAAAAAGGATTTTTTTGTGCCAAACATGCAGAGAGTGCGCCGGAATGAAAAATTTTTGTCGCAAAAATGAATTTAGTAGTTCAAAAAAAAAATTTCATTCTCTGTACACGCAAGAAATGTCATTTCTAGCACTATTCCTTCATTTTTCGATACTCCCATACGTATTTTGCTCTCGAAAAATCTTTGTTTTATGCGAAACAAGGTATAGTAGTTTTCTTTTCGGCTGTCTAATAATCACACACAACAAATGAACCCTTAAATGAAACAATAATAATGATATGATAGCAATCTTGTAACTTAGGGATAAAATATTAGTTGATAAATTTTCCTCTGTATGAGATATTTTCATCCTGAAAAGGCACCGTCTGGTGTGAATTATTCGTCTCTTGAGCCAAATATTTCGTCGCTGTCGAAAGCAGAAGAATTATTCATGTTTGCGACTTTCAAATTCGAAGCAAACAAATTCGTTTTTGGCAGTTTTCAACTAGCGATTTTGTTGGCCCAAACAAGACTTGTTTGACAACGTGTTTGTTTTTCTCTCAGTGTTGATTTGTTAATTTAGAAATATAAAATTCATGATTAGGATGATGAGTGGATGCTCCCGACGAGTCAACACTCCTATTCGGTCCCAGAGGAGGATGTCCACGAGCCAGAGAACCCAGAGACCCTCCAGGTCTGGTCCTCCCCATCCACTGCATCGAACATCGATCTGGATGCTGATAAAATCAGCCAAGTGAAGTCTGCAATGGCTACATTCACACTACCGAAAGCTGCAATACCAGAGTGGGCACAATCTGTCTCCGAGGAGCAGTGGAAAAATCGTCTCATCGATAAAATCAAAGAGATGCAGAAGCGCGAGTAATTTAGCCTAGAGTAATTATCAAATATTTTCACCTTCCTCTGGTCGATCAATCTCATGTAAAAATCCTATTGTTTCCATTTATATAAAGAATTTATTTCAAGAATACAAAGATTTCATCGTTGACATTTATTTTATAATAAATTCATTAAGAATTGTCAATACAAAATTCGTGGAAATAAAAAAACACGAATAAACGAAGGTTCAGCTGTGAAATGATGAGATTGGATTTATTTATTCATCCAGAGTGTTTTTAGAAAAAAAATGAGTGGTAGATGATTAAATTTCGTTATATTTGTCCTCTGAAATTTTTAGCAAGATTTTTCAAATTGATTTATTCTGTTTTTCATGTTTTATCAATTCACAACTGAATCAATCTCTATTTTTAAACAATAAAAGGCAGTGTGAACTACAAATTGAACTCTTCCTTAATGGCTGCTGCTTTGACAGGGTTCAATTTCGCCCTCAATGTCCCCACGTCATCGTCAATTCGAACTAATTTACGCCATCTCTGGAAAATAAATCACCGAAACACGTGGAAAAATCAAATGAAAGAAAAATTTTTGGTTGCAATTTGAATAAATTGATTTTGTTCACCTCTGAAAATGATCCTGTGGTGGCAAACCATATGTAAACCATGTAAACAGGTATGCACATCATTGAGGAGAGGCCAGCTAGCCAGCCTAGCACATGGCTCCACCAGGGATACTCGTAGTCCAAGTATTTAGGAGGGACAAATTTAATTATGTTGAAGATGAAGACTCCCTGCACGATAAAAATTGAACAATTTTCCCTTCGAGGGTTAATCAATGTTGAAATCAGTACCGAAGTGGTAAAACGGTACAAGTCAATCTTGACTATTGACCAGTTTTTAATTCAGCAGCGAAGCGGTAAACCGGGTTAAGTCGGTTTTGACTTTTGGCCAGTTTTTTATGAATATCTCAGAATCTAAGAGAGTTAGCAAAATTTTTCTCATATCCCTTTTTATATCCCTCACTTGATTCTACAAAAAAGGTCATAACTACAATTCTGCTATCTCCCTTAGATTCCGAGATATTCATTGAAAATTGGCCAATAGTCAAAATCGACTTAACCCGTTTTACCGCTTCGCTACTCAATTCATATCTCGGAATCTAAGGGAGATAGCAGAATTGTAGTTATGACCTTTTTTGTAGAACCGATTGAGTGCTACAACAAATGTCATTACGAAAATTTGGCTATCTCCCTTAGATTCGGAAATATTCATCAAAAACTCAACTGGGAGATGAGTCGACTTGAACCGTTTTACCACTTCGCTACTGAAATGATTATTGATCATGCACTCACCACACATATGGCAGGTGTAGTCACAGTCCAGCAGATCTTCCACCAGAAGCAGGGGTAGTACCCAATCATATCCTTTATTCCATCGTAAAATCTATTGACGCCGAAAGCCCACGAGACAGCGATGCACTCGAAGAACATGAGGAATAGGAGGCAGAATCCACTGACAGCATAAGAGTCCAACAGTTGGAACACGAACATTCCTCCCTATGGGTCGAAGACAAATTAATATTTCAGAGTGACTGATAGAAATATAAACTTTGAATTCAGTAGCGAAGTGGCAAAACGGTACAAGTCAATTTTGACTATTGGCCAATTTTCAATGAATATCTCGGAATCTAAGGGAGATGGCAAAATTTTTGTTGTAACCTTTTTTGTAGAGCCCGTTGAGAGCTACAACAAATGCGCACGGACGAAACAATTTAATAGAAAAACCTATCGAATTTGTTAGAAAATTCTATTAAATTTCTATTGAACTGTTCTATTAGTTTTTGGCCGATTTTATTAAAATGGTCAATAGAAAATATTCAGTAGAAAAAGTCAATGGAATTCAATTTTTCTGTATAACTTATTCTATTGATATATTTTCTATAGAATTTCCTCGGCTCAAATTTTCCAAGTCGAGAAAACGAAAACGAAAGCGTTTGATTTTCTTGATGAGAAGAAGAAAAATAGAATGAAAAAAACTTGGAAAATTTGAGTCGAACAAATTCTGTAGAAAAGATATGAAAAGAATAAGTTATATAGAAAAATCGAATTCTGTTGACTTTTTCTATTGAAGGTTTTCTATTGAACATGTCAATAGAATCAGCCAAAAACTAATAGAGAGTTTAATAGAAATTCAATAGAATTTTCTAACGAATTCGATAGGTTTTTCTATTAAATTTCGTGCGTGTGATTACGAGAAATTCGGTATCTCCCTTAGATTTAAAAATATTCTTGAAAAACTCAACTGGGAGATGACTTAAACCGTTTTACCACTTCGCTACTGAATTATTTCGTCTCACTAACTTCAGTGACACATGACAGCCCAATCAGGTAGGACAGGAAGCAGACGATGGCGACGAAGATTTCTTTACGTTTTCGGAGGAGTCGGGGCCATTCGTCCACTGCAGCTGTGATGAATCCTTCTACTGTGCAGAACTGGGAAGAACAATAAAAAAAAGAAAAAGATTGTGGACGGGATACTTTGAGAAACTTTGTGAATAGTAATTGTTGTTGATTTCTGTTCACCTGGCTGTCCAACCCAATGAGAATCAACATTAAGAAGAAGAGACAACTCCAGACTGGCGCCCCTGGGAGCTGCAGAACTGCTGATGGATACACCAAGAATGCCAGCCCAGGACCTGAGTAAATTAAATTATAAAGTCAAGTCCTTCACTGTTAGGAAAAAATTGAAAGGACACATTTAACTGAAAATTCAATGAATATGTTTACTGAATTTTCCTGATTTCTATTAATATTCATAGAATAATTCAGTAGCAAAGTGGTAAAACGGTTCAAGTCGACTCACCTCCCAGTTGAATTTTTGAGGAATAATTCCGAATCTAAGGGAGATAGCGAAATTTTCGTAATTACATTTATTGTAACCCTCAATCGGCTCTACAAAAAAAGTTATAATAAAAATTTTGCTATCTCCCTTAGATTCCGAGATATTCATTGAAAACTGGTCAATAGTCGAAATCGACTTGTATCGTTTTACCACTTCGCTACTGAATTGAACGTCACCAATCAAATAAATTTTCAAAGAGTTTTAAATGTGATCAACTGGTAGCGAGGGTTTTTCAAAAATATTACCAGAAGCAGCTACATCAGCAACCGGCTTCTGTTGCTCATGTGCCATGAACCCAACGACTGAGAAGATCACAACTCCACTCAACATGCTAGTTCCAGAGTTTACACAGCATACGATCAAGGCATCTCTGTGAAAAGAAAAAACATAATTTGGACTCATCTCCAATTTAACATATTTATCATTTTTTCATGTGTGAAGTTTATCTTTATATAAAAATATATCTAAATTGCCTAATTGTTGATCATGAGAAAAAAAACAGAGTATTTCTAAATTTTTTTAACTCACAAATTATTCTTCACTTCCCAAATTTTAATTTTTTCATATTGATCATACGCAAAAATGATCAATTCTTGCTTCTCAGATTTTCATACATAAATTCTAAACTCTACAAAATTCATGAAAATTCATCGATTTCCCAAATAATTCGAGAAAAATCTTTGAAAATCTACGATTATCTGGAAAACAATTCATAACCCTCCCCTCATTTTTCAACAATTACAGATTTTAATCAGATTATTTTTAAAAGTAAAAAAAAAAGAAGTAATCGAAGATTAAAAATGATTCATTGGTGTTTAACCCTTCATTCTCTTAATTCTCTTCAAGCCATTATCAATATTTATAAAACATCTATGAGTATATGAAGTTTAATAAATTCGATTTCTTCATTTTCACAATAAAAAGATGAGCGCGTACAGGTCTAGTTTTAAAAAAACGTCACTCACTTGTACACATTATTTTTGAACTTATTATAACTCCCGAGAGCCACCAGGGCGCCAAGTCCAAGAGCATAGGAGAAGAAGATCTGGGTGACAGCGTCGATCCAGACCTCAGGATCCCCCAGTTTCGAGAGGTTCGGGGTGGCGTAGTACTTGAGCCCCTCCATTGCACCAGGCAGTGTCAGGCCCCTGATGAGGAGGCAGAAGAGGAGGGCGTAGGGAAACAGAGCTGTGAAATACACGACTTTCCCCGTCCACTTGACGCCTTTCCAGATGCAGAAGTAGCACATTATCCACACGATCGCCAGCGTTCCGGCGAGCTCCCATCGGATCCCACCGATCTCCTCGATTCCAGAGGATATCTGCAAGGTTCTTCTCCTGGAAAACATTGGGGGTTGAATTATTCGAGGGCAGACATCGACAAATTCGATTACTTGAATCACATGATATTATTATTTGAATTAACGCTTTAATCAGAATTATCTGGTTAATCATTATTTTTATTTGTTTACTATCCATTTTTACTCCATTTTATTTATTCATTACCGACACCATCTAGTAGTTATTTTTGTGCTGATTAAAGAAAAAGTGAAAAATATTTGAATATTTTAAATATTAAAAAATATTATTATTAATATTTATTATTATTTAATTTTTACTTGCAAATATTGAAGTGTCAAAAAATTGCAAAAATAAACACTGAGAAATTTATAACAAAATGAATCTCAATGTTTTTTTCTCGACAGCTAAATAATTAATGATTTTATGAGAATACAATCTCTAATGAATTTGCATGGGGTTTTTATATCTCACTCATCATCTAGTAGTTATTTTTATGCTGATCAAAGAAAGAATGAAAAATACTTGAATATTTTAAATATTAAAAACATATTATTATTCTTAATATTCATTATTATTATTTAATTTTTACTCGAAAATATTGAAGTGTCAAAAAATGGCAAAAATAAACACTGAGAAATTTATAACAAAATGAATCTCAATATTTTTTTCTCGACAGCTAAAAAATGAATGATTTTATGAGAATACAATCTCTAATGAATTTGCATGGGGTTTTTATATCTCACTCATCATCTAGTAGTTATTTTTATGCTGATCAAAGAAAAAATGAAAAATACTTGAATACCTTAAATATTAAAAACATATTATTATTATTAATATTTATTATTATTATTTAATTTTTACTTAAAAATATTGATGTGTCAAACAATGGAAAAAATAAACACTGAGAAATTTATAACAAAATGAGTCTCAATGTTTTTTTTGACAGCTAAAAAATTAATGATTTTATGAGAATACAATCTCTAATGAATTTGGACGGGGTTTTTATATCTCACTCACTCCCAATATTCTTTGACGGGATCCTTGAGAACTAGAGTACTGTAGTTTCCGATTGATGTCTGACACATTGTGATGTTGCGGTATATGTCGGACCAGCATGACGCTTTCAGCCGCTCCTCGGGCGTTATACAATACTCGGAGTTCCAGTAATTGCTGCAGGTTCTCCAAGGGACGTCTGACATATGGAACAAGAAATTAATGAGGGTCACGAGAGGCTAATTACTGCGATTTAGGAAAAATTGAACAATTTAGGGTGAAAATTCGAATTTCTCATTCCGAAAAAAAAATTCCGTCGTCTTTTTATCATCGTGTGGGGGTGAATTCAGTAGCCGAGTGATCAAAGGCTTTGAGTGCATTAAAAAAAATTTTTTTTTGCGTGAACCACATTGAAATATTAATTTTCAAATGCACGGAGAGAAATTTTTTAGAAAAATTCTAGTGCTAGCTCGGGAAAAGAGGCGCAAAGTGACCGCCAGGAAAAAATTCCAGTGCCGGCACTAGAAATTCTATTGGGGAAAACATGAATTTTTCCCCATATTTCTGTGAAAATTTCACAGAAATTTTACCAGAAATACTAAGAAATTTTACGTTAATAGCACTGGACCAATTGCCTGACACTGTAGAACACTTTCTTCTTCATTGTAATGCTTTAAATGAGGAAAGAACTAAACTTGTCAAAAGTTTGCAAAATGTGGACTGTCGTACTAATCAACCGATCCAATTGAGCCTGCACTTACTCTTAGCACCCAAAAAGAAATCTCATGTTAAAACAATCTTTTATTTTGTTATCAACAGCTGTATTAGGCGCGCTCGTATATTGGAAAATTTGAGTTTGGATTATTCTTGTCTTTCTATCATGATTGTAATGAAAAAAGTTAACTCCGACCCCCGGGAGACATATTGTAAAAAAGATTTTGTATCTTTAAATCAATAATAAATGATGATTATTCTTTAATAGCACTAGAATTTTTTCCAGTACTCGTACTAGAATTTTTCTAGAAAATTTCTCTCCGTGTGGTAATAATAATATTACGAATTCCGAAAAAAAAATGCACCCATCTCCTTTTACCACTTCCCTAGCTCCGGAATCGAGGGTCACAATTCAATACCCCCTGCCCCCTTCCAAAAATAACACCTCCAAATGTTCCATTCAAAATTTTGTTATCGGTTTTAAGGCACTTAATGGTCATGTGGAGAATGAATACATCTCCATCTTTCGTATTCCCATCACGTTTTTCATACTTCATGAACCCCAAATGACGCAACAAAGCCCTCGTCGATCCACCCTACAATGAGTCACGCTGAAAATAATCATGTAGTTACCTGAGTTTAAGGAAACTAAGAAGTAAAACAGCGCCCACGCCAGAATGATAATGTAGTAGATATTTGTCCAGCACGAGAGGACGCACGTGGCATATCCAATTCCTGTCGACCAAAAAAAAATTGCCAATAACAACAATTTAATCGTCATTAAATTAACAATCATAATCAATGAAATTCAGTTTAAAAGAATCCAGGGTAACGATTTTCAAGGCCTCTATTCCGTTTACCAAGTAATGTAATATGATATCTGTATATTTTTTTATGTATGTATGTATGTATTTATTTACTTTGTTTAGAATTACATTCGTACAAAGGCGAGTCGAGTCAACAGTCTAAAATTGTTTAATATACAAAAGTTTCAGTGCGGTTTGTATATTTTTTTCATCTTTTGTTCACAGTAATTCTAAAAAAAGGGAAATTCATTTCTTATTGTAATAAAAAAAAACATAATAACCTAGTATATATGTATATGCAGTAGAGGCTTCGTATAAGATACCTCGCGCACCGAGCGCTCGAGGCGTACCCCCACTCTCGGCCCTTTAATCGCCTCCCGAATGTTTATGTTCCGTGGGCTTCTTATAAGATACCTATGGCCCCGGTAATTTTTCAACGGGAAGGGAGTAGTTATAAGGATCAAACGCACCGAGAGAAATTGTTTAGAAAAATTCTAGTGCTAGCACGGGAAAAGAGGTGCAAAGTGACGGCTAGGAAAAATTCCAGTACCGGCACTAGAAATTTTATTGTGGAAAACGTGAATTTTTCACCGTATTTCTGTGAAAATTTCACAGAAATCCCCAGAAATTTTACCAGAACCACCAAGAAATTTTACACTAACAGCACCAGAATTTTTCACAGTCGGTGGATTGTGATTTTTTCCAGTACTCGTACTAGAATTTTTCTATAAAATTTCTCTCCGTGCGGTGTTAAGGGTTAAACGGAAGGGACGAACGAAGTGATCATGACGGTCTAATGACCTTAAGGGGGGTCACACCACTTTTTTCAAGTAATGGAAATATACATCGATTTTTTTTTTCACTTTTCCCATCGATAAATCGTAATTTTTCGTCTGTGATTATTCTCGAGTCCACCAACAATCCCCCAACATCAGCTGCCATTCTATCACGCGGGGTTATATTTAGAGAGAAAAGGGAACGCGGGCGATACAAATTCAAAACATTAAACACCTAAACTGATTAGTTATCGATATTCATTCAGTAAAAATGAAAATTTCATTGAATTCGGGCGCAACGAGCGAGGTATCTTATTTGAAACCCGCTGATCCCTATTTTTCCCCTCTCTGTGGGCGCGCGTAGTGGGGGCATAAGAGTCCCCAGAATTCCACTCTCCTACTGTCCCTAAGGTGTCTTATACGAAGTCCCTAATGTAGTACATAATACATCCCTAAAAATAAAAAAGTACGCAAAAAGCAAAAGCTCGGGCTGCCCACGAGACTAAACTTTGGAGAGACCGTCTCGCTCTGAAAAAACATGAAATTTTTTGGGACTGTCTTACTCGCGAAAGGCATCGTATCGCCTCCTGCAGTGATGTCCACAAAAAAAATTATCTCATCACAGACTCCACTCTTTCGTGTTTTTTAGGTTCAAAGTCTCGGTTTGAGAGTCTCGGTCTCAAACGCATAAAAATGAGAAAAAGTGGAGATTGTGACAAGATCATTTTTTTATGGTCATCACTGGAAGCCCCAAAAAGTTTCATTTTTTTTTGGAGCGACACGGTCCCTCCAACGTGAGGTCTCGGTTTAGTCTCGTGGGCAGCCCTAGCAAAAGCGAAACGAAGAACATGAAGAGGATTATGACCATGCCGAATAAATACTTCAACAGTTGAATTCTTATTGTGAAAAGCTTTGTGGAAACCATTCATTTCTCCTGCAATATTATTGAGATAAAAATTAATGAAAGTGAGAAACGGTAAAGTTTCACTATTCTGGCGCCCATGGAAAACAATACGCGCGAAGCGCGCGCTGTTCTAGTGAATCCAAAAAAAGGAGAAAAAGGGGATGTCTTCACCTTTGAAAATCGGTGCAATCTGAAACACCCCAAGCCCCCCGATGGTCATCATCTGCCCCAGGGACAATTCCATAAGAAACATTGGTATTCCCGCCAGCGAGAGTGCGATAAAATATGGCACCATGAAGGCACCGCCGCCGTTCTTGTAGCAGAGATATGGAAATCTCCAGAGATTTCCGAGGCCGATGGCTAGTCCCACCACGGAGAGGATGAACTCGATCTTACTTCCCCAGCTTCCACGCTCTGGTATGTCGTCCTCTTTCGGGAGCTCTATCTGCAAGCAATCTGCTGCTTGCGCATGGCAATTCTCGTCCTGTTTACTTCCGTTAGTAACGGCACTGGTTCTTGGCGGCGGCTCGGTGAAGAGGGCCTTCAATTCCTGAACGGGATCGGAGTGCTTCTGGGGTAATGGACTTGTGGATCTGTCCACACGGACTCGTGCCCCGGTAGTGTCGCACGATGGCATTTTATCTCTTCGGTAAATGCCCAATTGAACTAGATTTATCATTCACCTCATGATGCCATAGATCATTTGCCACGGAATCTGCGGACAATAAGAAAAAACGAAAACATCGATTTTCATCGATTTTTCGAATCGTTTTTTCAAATCTGCGGACAATTCGAAAAAACGAAAACATCGATTTTCGTCGATTTTTCGAATCGTTTTTTCAAATCTGCAGACAATTCGAAAAAACGAAAACATCGATTTTCATCGATTTTTCGAATCGTTTTTTCAAATCTGCGGACAATTCGAAAAAACAAAAACATCGATTTTCATCGATTTTTCGAATCGTTTTTTCAAATCTGCAGACAATTCGAAAAAACAAAAACATCGATTTTCATCGATTTTTCTTCCTTTCATTTTTTCTCTACACTGAGAGAAAAACGACAAAGTTCTCAAACACGTCTTACTTGTGCCAAGAAAATATTTTTTTGAAAATTATGAAAAGAGGATTTTTTTGTGCCAACTATGGGGAGAGTGCTCCGGAATGAAAATTTTTTGTCGCAAAAATAGATTTAGTAGTTGGAAAAAAATTGCGTTCTCTGCACACGCGAGAAATGTCATTTCTAGCACTACTCCCTCGTTATTCGAAACCCCCATACGTATTTTGCTCCCGAAAAATCTTTGTTTTATACGAAACAAGGGACAGTAGTTTTTCGTTTCCGCTGTCTAATAATCAGGCAACAAATGAACCCTTAAATGAAACAATAATAATGATACGATAGCAATATTGTAACTTAGGGATTAAATATTTGTTGATAAATTTTCCTCTATAAGAGATATTTTCATCCTGAAACGACACCGTCTGGTGTGAATTATCCGCCCGTTGAGCCAAATATTTCGTTGCTATCGAAAGGAGAGCAATTATTCATGTTTGAGGCGTTCAAATTCGAACCAAACAAATTCAGTAGCGAAGTGGTAAAACGGTTTAAGGATATCCAAGTATCTTTTACAGTTTGGTACAGACCACAGTATAGATTCAACTATTTTCAATCATCCAATTTGTCAATCAAATTGCGTGAGCAAAATTTGAAAAAAATCATGAATATTCAGTGTCACTCAAATTTCATTTTGCATAGAATTATTATTTTTTAAACATTCGTTGTTTATAAATAAGTAATTGAAATTGTTTGACCCTTCTTTTCTATGCATGAAATCGATTTATGGTAAAATTCTGAATATGAATAAATTTGTTACGATTCCGAACAAACGATTTGTATGCACGGAGAGAAATGTTCAGTCAAAATTACGGAACCCTCACTTCAGTCACCGATTACGGAATCGACTCTGAAAATTTAAATGACGGTTTCGTAATTTTTCACAAGAGATTCAGATAAAAATTATGGAACGTTCCGGAAAAATTCCGTGACACTTCCGTAAAATTTCCTACAACCACATTTCGCTCCGGAATTACGGAATAGATACGTAATTTTTGTTGAATATTTCTCTCCGTGTGGTAGAAAATTGATTGTTTATAAATTATTTAAAGCAAAGGCTCATAATTTTCAAAAATTGCAACTTTTTAATCATTTTATCAATCTTCCTAAAAGTAAACTTTCTAAAATTTCTTCAGATTTTTATAATGTTTTCTAACAGTTCCATATCAAGATTCAAATTCAGACCTGCAAAGTTTAAATAATAAAATCTTTGTAAAACGTCCGGAAACTTAGGGTCAAATGGGGCTCAAGTGAAAGCTGTGAGGCTCCACTACAAAAGTAGAAAAGCACTTCACTGGAGAAAAAATAGTCAAAGTACTTGGATATCCTCAAGTCAATTTTGAATATTGGCCTTTTTTCAGGGAATATCTCGGAATCTACTGGAGATAGGAAACTTTTTATTAGAAACTTTTTGTAGAGCCAATTGAGAGCTACAACAAATGTAATTACGAAAATTTCGCTATCTCCCTTAAATTCGGAAATATTCCTCAAAAACTCAACAGGGGGATAAGTCGACTTGAACCGTTTTTTAACTAGCGATTTTGTCGACCCAAACAAAATTTGTTTGACAACGTGTTTGTTTTTCTCTCAGTGTATCTCTAGTTTATCATCGAATTAACTCGACGGATGAGTGAATAAAACTAGTAATGACTTTGGTCTCATGGGTATCCAACGAAAATATCAAAATTATAAACCGGAAAAACTCTCAATTGATGACTAATGCGTCAAAATAATAGGTGAGCATATTCTTCGAAACATCCGTCCACGATTCTAGACGCGTGTCTCTGGATTGGGGTTCTTGATGATGATGGATGATGGCAACGAGACACTTCCGGGAATCACTGTTCCCAACGAGAGACCTTGCTCCATTTTACAGATGATAATAAACGGGTTATTGGAAAAAATATCAGTCACGTCTTTCATTGGCAATTGAACTCGTTGGAGATGGTAAAGCCCACCAATTACCCGGGAATTTGTCTACAATTTTTCTGCCATTATCCACCGATTTATGAATTATTCATCGCACTCGATACATCAGAACTGTTTAACAGAATCACGGAAATCTTCGGGTACTTTATGATCAGAAATTCGCGGGGTGAATGCTGATGAGAAATCGGTTGAATTCGGAATATCAAATAGGGATTAACAAAGATGTTCCATTGGGTGAAAAAAAACTGCGACGATTCCCCTTGAACTCGACTCGAACGGAATGAAAAAGCCGCGATGAAATGACGAAACTCACTTATTAAAAACACTGAAGAGATTATTTTCTCTACACTTTGGCTATTCAAACTGCTCGGAGTAAGAGTCGATCATACACTGGTGTGAATACGAGTAGGTGCCCTATGAATCTGCCCTAAGTGCTCTTGGGTTCCCCCTTCAGACATCCCAACACACACCTATTTCATTCAATAAATTAATACCACTAGTGTCATTCTACTTTTGTCCCGGTAGTATTGCTGGCTGCGGCTGAAAGAAAAATACAGGACGGAATATTTCACGAATGGCCCCCCTTGATGACTGATTATTGACGAGTAAATAATGATGCATCTCAATTGGAAGGAGGGGAACAGGTTCCAGGGCAGGATGTGTGGAATCTATCCACTTAATTATTTTTATTGTATTAATTGTGATATTGTGGGGTCTAGACGCGTGCGGGTCCACGCGTTCGGGAATAATTAATGATGCTGCGATCGAGAGAGAACTTTTTCGCAAATTATTTCCTATTTCTACACTTGTTTTCATTTTTTTTAATTTTTGACGGAATTTATTGCAAGAAAAATTCAAAGAAATAATTTATTCGGGTTTTTACATGTTTTTGAGGTCTCATGGGCCGACTTCCTCTCCAACCGTCGCATTGTACCCCAGGAGCTGTGCCCCACGTAGAGACTCTCCTGGTAACCAAGGGAAACCATGGAAAACCTTGGTCGACATCGACCGAGCTTCATCGGAGAATGTTTTCCCAACAACACTTATCCGATGATTCTCGGTGTCTAGACTTCCGTTCGACGGTTTCCGAAAGATTAAAAATCGCAATTGCCCCAAGCCGGACTCGAACCTGCGCCTCACGGGTCCCGCCGTCCGGCCGAGCGATTTAACTTTTTTTAAACCATGTTTTTATTCAATTTTTACAACAGGATATTTACAATATTTACAGCTATTTGCATAACAAAACAGGTATATAAAAAAATTAACGTCTTATATTGGGTTTAGTAAACTATGGTCGCTTAGTGACTCTCGAGTTTTGACTGGCTATTGTTTGTATTTGAAAGATTTTTCATCACGCTGTGCGAAAAAGTAACTTTTCGTGAGAAGACCCGGTAAGCCGCGATTCTAACCTCGCTTCGCCTGGTTTGATCGCGGTTTACGGGCCTTCTGACGAAAAACTGCATTCATCACACGGTCCAAAAGTATTTTCTGATGAATGTGATTATACTACAAAGCCACATTCGTCAGAAAATACTTTGTGGACCTTGTGATGAAAATAACTACTTTAGGCACGCTTCGCGTGCCTAAAACGTCCCTTTTCCACACATTGTGATGAAAAATATCGTTCGATACTCGTGGGAAAAGTATTTTTTGGCTCGTGGGATTATATCACTTGCCTTCGGCTCGTGCTATAAACCTCCCACGAGCCAAAAAACACTTTTCCGCACTCGTAACGAAATATACTATTATATCGATTTCATATTATCTGCTCCATTAGAATCTGAGGGGGTTGAAGTGGCATGAACACGTCAGACGTGAAGTTGGGGAGCGGAGACATCGGCTGTGAAGACTATACTGACTAACTCTTGTTCTCATAACTTTTTCAGTCTCTCAACATTTGGTGCAACTCATTTAATTTAAGCATATGTAGATATTGTTCTCTTTTTTGTTTTAATAAATATTATCATCATCATTAGCCAACACCAAGCCTTCTCAGGAAAAAAATGTGAACGTTGTGTACAGAGAAAGAAATTTATGTACTAAAGGAAATAAATTATTATTATTATCTGCTCCATTCAGTAGCGTTGTATATTTTGTTTAATGCCCTAAAAAAAAGAAAAAAAATAGGATTTTGTGTTTGTATTTATCGTAATAAAAAAAAGCAGCCGAGCGATTTAACCGCTTCGGCCGCCGTCGACGTTTTCTGTTTATTTTATTTTATTTTTCCGAATCCTATTAATAACGATCAGAGGAATTAATAATCAAAATATTGAGAAGGGAAATTGTGAACGATCAAGTGAATAAAAAAAAGGTTTCGACTTGAAAACTCATTGTGAAGGTTCCTTCCCCCTTTCCACTATTCTTTATTCTTCATTCAAAGGAGTATCTCCTATCCTCCCACCTCACTTATAAATACGAGAAATGTACGTCTCAACCAGACAGTTTCCGAATAAACACAAAACTGAGCAGTTGACGATGAAAAGCCTGTGCTATTGCAATTTCTCCGGGGAATAAAAATGTCGTGGATGTTTATGCATCGGTTCATTCGGGATGATATCATGATCGGGAGTATGCCAGTGCTTGGTGAGTGATGGCGGTGAATATTAACGAAGGATCGTATCGAAGGATTGAGAATTTTTTACGATAGGATACCTAGCTCTGGCTGCTGCAGGTCTAGCCGCTTTATTATTGTGGAAAAGTCTGAGGGATTTCTGGATTCGTCGAGCTGCTCTTTTGAAATTTGCCATGACTCTTCCGGGTCCTTCGACGCTTCCATTACTGGGGAATGCGCTTCAGTTCGCAGTCAGTCCTGATGGTGAATAAATCTCAATTTTTCCCATTTTTGGTTATTTCCTTTCTCATCATCATGAATAGTGGTTATCAATAATAATTATCGATGACAATAAGAAATTAATTACTATCTTCTTTCGTGGATTTTCCATTAAGAAAATCAGTAGCGAAGTGGTAAAACGGTACCAGTCAATTTTGACTATTGACCAGTCATCAATGAATATCTCGGAATCTAAGGGAGATGGCAAAATTTTTGTTATAACCTTTTTTGTAGAGCCGATTGAGGCCTACAATAAATGTAATCACGAAAATTTCGCTATCTCCCTTAGATTCGGAACTATTCCTCAAAAACTCAACTGGCAGATGAGTCGACTTAAACCGTTTAACCACTTCGCTAATTTTTTTATTATCATTTATCATTTCGTTTTTATGGTGAAATGAAGAGACCCTCGACCGAGTCGTCGAGATCATACGAAGTAACAAATCAACATTTCGCTTCTGGCTGGGACCCAAACTCGTCGTTATTTTAACAGATCCTCGAGATTACCAAGTAATTTTCGCTGAATTTTATTTCTAAAATTTTGTGAATTGTTAGAATGGCTTTAGAGTAATTACCTGCATTGTCTAGACAATTTTTGCGAGTTCAAAGGCATCGTACAAAGACCCAATCTACAGGCTGATGGAGCCAGCGGTGGGTCAAGGCCTCGTCAGTGCCTCAGGTACTATAAAAATTTCTCTATTTTTTTTTCTTCATTCGTTATTGTGGTTTATGAATATTACGGATTACTTGGTAGGACCGGTGCATAGGACTCAACGAAAAATCGTCATGCCGATGCTCAATGGAAAATCATTGACGACGTACTTGAAGTATTTTAATATTCACAGCCATTACTGCGGGCAACTGTTGGGGGACAGAGTCGGATATGGAGAGTTTGATGTTCTTCCTTTCATGACCAATTGCACAACTGATATGATGTTCGGTAAATACATCGGCCAGTGATCGCGATTTGTATGCACTCGACAGATTCACTCATTCCGATTTATGTTCAGAGACAATTTTCGGGGTTTCCGGTGCTGCGCAGAAAGGGGGATACAAACAGTTTGTACACTATTCCGATCGGTAAACAACCATTTGTTTCTTCATCGTCCGTACACGGAGAGAAATTTTCTAGAAAAATTCAGTAGTGAAGTGGTAAACGGAGATGAGTCGACTTATCTCCCAGTTGAGTTTTTGAGGAATATTTCCAAATCTAAGAGAGATAGCGAAATTTTTGTAATTACATTTATTGTAGCACTCAATCGGCTCCACAAAAAAGGTTGTAACAAAAATTTTGCTATCTCCTTGAGATTCCGAGATATTGATTGAAAACTGGCCAATAGTCAAAATTGATTTATCTCTTTTTACCACTTCGCTAACTGAATTCTAGTACGAGTACTGGAAAAAATCGGCTGTGAAAAATTCTAGTGCTGTTAAGGTAAAATTTGTTGGTATTTCTGGTTAAATTTCTGGGGATTTCGGGGAAATTTTCACAGAAATATGGGGGAAAATTCACGTTTTCCCCAATAAAATTTCGAGTGCCGGCACTGGAATTTTTTTCTGGCTGTCACTTTGCGCCTCTTTACCCGTGCTGGCACTAGAATTTTTCTAAAAAATTTCTCTCCGTGTAAGTTATTCTCTTTGTTTTCATTTTGACAATTTATCCGGATTATGATTTTTTTAGGATCTACGAATTGCTACATTTGCGAATGTTCAAAGTCTGGTTGCATCCAAATTTCATATTTGAGAATACGAAAATCGGGGAAGAACAGAAGGCGGGGTTGAAGATAGTTCATGGCGTTGTAGATCAGGTGAAGTTGTTAATTTTCAATCTTTTCACTGAATTTTTCTATAGGAAATGAACTTAAGGTGTTTCGCCTGTAGATCACAGAGGGGTGAAACGGAGGGGAGTCTTGTGGTTTTCGAGCCCCGATTCAATCGCTGAGCACGAAATTTTCCAATTTTCAAGTAACTATTTAAGTGTGCATTTAAACATTTTTTGAATATTGATTTTATTCATCAGATTGATTGATTTTTTTCTCATCACCTGCGGGTGTCAAATAATTTTTATTGGATGTTTTTCTAATTATTGAAATAATATTAAAATGCGTCTCGAGTTGGTAAACCTGTCGAGTGTTTTCTCTCTCTCAGTTCCATGGTCCTACCCATAGCTTTCCCATGATGCTCACTGACATTTGAATCACGCGCCTGCGCGTGAGGACGTAATTGCCCCGAAACTCATAATTTTCCGAATCATTTGTTCAAATAACTTTCTTATGAAATCGGAAAAAAATCTGAAACTTATACGTGTTCTCAAGAAAGATTTAATTTATCACCCGCTAGTTTTTCCTCAATAGTTCATCATTTTTTTGGGCGCCATGGAAATTTGCTTAATTGAGAGTGGGGTAACCTCGGAGATTATAGCTGGAGGGGCAACAAAAGCATCCAAATTTCATTATTTTTTTTTTTCCACTGAGATCTGAAAAAAATGTGCAAGAATTCTCAATGATGCAGCATACTCAGAATTTTTTCTCGTGAATTTTCCAATTTTTTTTCATTATTTTGACTTTTCAGGCGAAACACCTTAACGGAGAGAAAAGAAGTTTGTTGAGCTTTGAAGAATTATTTTCGTCCATAAATTTATTTATTAAATAATGAATTAGTTTCATTATAAGTTGTTATTTCTGAAATTATTATTAGTCACTTCGTCCTTGAATGATTATTATGTATCATCACCTTCGTCACTGAATTTCATTGCCATATACGTGTAGTTAAATCTGATTTTGTTATCCCCATCATGATTACAGTTATGCTGTAATTAATTATGTATATATCTTAATTGTAGTTTTGACCCTATAATTGGCCTTGAGCTGTTGGGTCTGTATAAAGCAATAAATAAATAAATAAATAATTAGAAATTGTAGTTAAAAATGGAAAAAGCACTGAATGTTGAGAAAAAAATTGAATGAAATTAAATTTTCCAGACGATTTCTAGAAAGAAAAGAGAGCACTCCGCCCTCGCAAGAGGAGCGATAAAGGCGGACAGGCCAAGAGTAATGTTATTAGAGCAGTTGATCGATCACAGTATGAAAAATAATGTAATGAACGACCTGGATCTCCGGTATCAAATCTACACTGTTTACATCGCCGTAAATAAATCCTTCAACTTCCCACTAGAATATTTATCAGCCCTCCCAAAAAATTATGCGCTCGATTTTATTTCCAGGCTCAAGATACAACAGCAGTTATCTCGTCGTTTACGTTACTGATGCTGGCGATGCATCCGGAAGTGCAGAAGAAGGTTCGAGAGGAAGTTGACGAGGTACTTGGCGAGAGTGAGGATGTGAGAGAGGAGCATCTTTCTAAATTGAGGTACTTGGAGATGGTCATCAGAGAGACACTGAGACTTTTTCCAATTGCTCCGTTGATGGTGAGGAAAACCACTGGACGAATTGAATTAGGTACTGTTCAGAGATAGTCAGCAAGTACTCAGAATTGAGTGAGAATGAAAAAAAAAAAATGAATAAATGAATCAATCAATCGATCAATCAATTATTTAATAAATTAATTAATTCGTTCATGACTGAATGAATAAATGAACGAATTTATTAATTAATTCATTTACTCATTCAGTCATGAACAAATAAATGAACGAATTGATTAATTAATTCATTTATTCACTCAGTCAATGAATAAATGAATTAATTAATCAATTCGTTCATTTATTTGTTCATGACTGAATGAATAAATGAACGAATTCATTAATTAATTCATTTATTCACTCAGTCAATGAATAAATGAATTAATTAATCAATTCGTTCATTTATTTGTTCATGACTGAATGAATAAATGAACGAATTGATTAATTAATTCATTTATTCATTCAACAATTCAATAATATCAACAGAGAGTTGCACACTCCCTGAAGATTGCTCCATCGTCCTCGCAGCCTTCATGACCCACAGAAGCGAAAAATACTGGAATGAACCCGAGAAATTCGATCCAGACAGATTTCTCCCTGAAAACATCAAGAAGCGGCATCCATATGCTTATGTTCCCTTCAGTGGAGGTCCTCGGGGTTGTCTCGGGCAGAAGTTCGCCATCATTTGCCTCAAGACACTTGTCGCCAACTTGATCAGAAGCTACAGTTTTGAGACGAGTGAGAAAATGGAGGAGATTAAATTGAAAATGGATATTTCTATCCGCTCGCGGAGTGGATACAGGGTGAAAATAAAAAGAAACTACAGAAAAAAGAATGAAAATTGAATAGTAAGGAAATTGTAACGATTTTGTGGGAAGAAAAAGAAATAAAAAATCATTATTTATGTGGATTTTTTTTCTTAACCCATGAATCACAAACTTGTCCTATCGGCCAGGGTTAGTGCATGGTATCGACCTCTTCCGTCAACAGTAAAAAATCATTTTCTCGAATTCTAAGAGACACATTGACATTTGGAAAAGATATTTAGAAAGTCAATGGAATTGTCTCTGCAGTGAACTATTTTATTTTATTCATTTTTCAATCCATTTATCATGTTTTTTTCTATGAACAAAAGTTGTAGATGAAAATTTTACATCCAACCGATTGAATCACATTACACATTTCACATTTTATTCATTTTTCAATGCATTTATCATATTTTTTTCTATGAACAAAAGTTGTAGATGAAAATTTTACATCCAACCGATTGAATCACATTACACATTTCACATTTTATTCATTTTTCAATGCATTTATCATATTTTTTTCTATGAACAAAAGTTGTAGATGAAAATTTTACATCCAACCGATTCAATCACCTTAAATCATCTCGTTTATCGACAAAATTTCCCCAAAAAATTTTGAAATTTTTACTGAAAATACTTCAATGATCTTCAAATTTATTTCTAACAAACAAATTATTCAACAAATCGAAATTTAACTTTTGCCATTCGATAGAAGCTTCTATCGAATGGCAGAAGTTAAATTTCGATTTGTTGAATAATTTGGTTGTTACAAATAAATTTAGCATGTTCGAAGATCTCGGCAAACATTGAAATTGGTGTCAAAAATTAGGAAATTCTCTAGGAGTTTATTTCAAAGTTCAATACAGCCAAATCATTTCATTTCAATTTTTTTCGTTTTTGACTGTATTACACATTCGATACTCCCAATGCCATCTCTCCGAGAGCTCTTGAACTGCCCTGTGATCTTCAATACCACAGACCCAGCTCGCCCAGCTAGTCCCAGTGCCCACAGTTGTAGGTTGAGCACTCACTTGACAGATACCCAAACTTTCCCTCATTATTGTCAATAAATATAATAAACAGAGCACTTATAACAATTGACCTTCATGATCGTTATCCGAGGCTATGGAGGAGATCAGTGACAAATTCTTCTACGTCTACAGTTCTTCGCTGGATGTGAGAATCCAGATTAAAATGTGAGTGGAGCCGACACATGTCATTCTAATTGTTATAACAAATACAAAACCCATCCTTCAGTTTATTCACGTATGGACACGCCTGAACATTTATTCTGCAGACCTGACCGGTATTGTCTTCCCCAATCGATCACAATTCCCCTTACGATCGTTAAAATTGAAAATTCGTATTGAGATAGTCTGAAATTAGAATGATCTAAACGTGAGATTAATTCAACGTCACGAGCTGACGTCGAAAACCTCTCAATGAAAAGTGGTCATTGTTAATCCTCTGATTACGTATTAAAAACAATAAAATATGGAACAATACACTGAGAGATAAACACACACGTTGTCAAACAAGTCTTGTTAGACCGACAAAATCGCTAGTTGAAAATTGCCAAAAAAGAATTCAGTAGCGAAGTGGTAAACCGGTTTACGTCGATTTTGACTATTGAGCAGATTTTAGTGAATACCACGGAATCGAAGGGAGATAGCTAAATTTTTGTCGAATCCTTTTTTGTAGCGCTCAATTTGCTCTAGAAAAAAGGTTATTACGAAAATTTCATTATCTCCTTTAAATTCGGAGATATTCTTCAAAAACTCAACTAAGAGATAAGTCAACTTGAACCGTTTTACCACTTCGCTACTGAATTTATTTGGTTCGAAACTGAAAGTCTCAGACATGAATAATTGTTCTGCTTTCGACAGCCACGAAATATTTGGCTCAAGAGGCGGATAATTCACACCAGACGGTGCCTTTTCAGGATGAAAATATCTCATATAGAGGAAGGTAGGGTAAAACGGACACTTTTGACTTTTTTAAAAATATTCATGACGTGTTGAATTGTTCATGAAATGGAATAATTTTATTTTTCAATTGAAAAACAATGATTCCTCTTTGTGATGAGCTTAGACTGAGCTCAATTGATGAGTCTATTTCTGAGTTATGAATATTTTTATAAAAGTCAAAAGTGTCCATTTTACCCCACACTCCCCTGGAGGAAAATTTATCTTCTAATATTTTATCCCTAAGTTACAAGATTGCTATCATATCATTATTATTGTTTCATTTAAGGGCTCATTTGTTGTCTGTGATTATTAGACAGCCGAAACGAAAAACTACTATCCCTGTTTCGCACAAAACAAAGATTTTTCGGGAGCAAAATACGTATGGAAGTATCGAATAACGAAGGAGTAGTGCTAGAAATGACATTTCTCTCGTGTACAGAGAATGCAATTTTTTTTTCAACTACTAAATCTATTTTTGCGACAAAATTTTTTCATTCCGACGCACTCTCTGCATGTTTGGCACAAAAAAATCCTTTTTTGATAATTTTCAAAAAACTATTTTCCTGGCACAAGTAAGACTTGTTTGAGAGCTTTGTCGTTTTTCTGTCAGTGTAGAGCAACTCTGTAGTGAATTGGTAAACTAGGATAACTGCATTTTGCTTAGTCGCAATCATCGATGAATATCTTGAAAACGAAGAAAGATACCGAAATTTTCATGAAAATCGTTTTTATAGAGCCAAATGTCAGCTCTAAAAAAGCTCTTCGAAAAAATTTCTCTAACTATATCCATTTCCAAGATATTCATCAATAATTGACCCTAAGCGGAAATCACTTATCCTGGTTTACCAATTCATGACAGANTTTTCCTGGCACAAGTAAGACTTGTTTGAGAGCTTTGTCGTTTTTCTGTCAGTGTAGAGCAACTCTGTAGTGAATTGGTAAACTAGGATAACTGCATTTTGCTTAGTCGCAATCATCGATGAATATCTTGAAAACGAAGAAAGATACCGAAATTTTCATGAAAATCGCTTTTATAGAGCCAAATGTCAGCTCTAAAAAGGCTCTTCGAAAAAATTTCTCTAACTATATCCATTTCCAAGATATTCATCAATAATTGACCCTAAGCGGAAATCACTTATCCTGGTTTACCAATTCATGACAGAACTGTCACTTGATACATCCGTCTGACATTCCACTCCATTCTAATTCTCTTCCATTCTCTCTTGATATCTCAGAGGAACTCTGGAGGGCAAACGACAGAGACCGGAGTATGATAAACTCTTGCTAGACCCCATGATAAAATATTCTGGATTGTACGGAGGTGGAGGCAGCAAGGGGGATCTCTCTGCGTCACTGCAGGTCTGGGGAGGAGGCAGAGCACTCGCTCTACCCGTCCACACGGCTTACAAACATTTTCCAACGAGGTGGAAGTAAGTAGTCACCAGGAAACTGTGATATCTAAAATAATATATCCAATTCAACTGTCATATCTAAAAGGTTTTTCTTTAGTCGGAATGAAAAAGTTTTTATCAGTTGTGGCGAGAAATGGTGAATTGAGATCTGTCTTATTTTAATTCGGTTTTGCAGAAGATATTTTTATAAACATTCTGTTGTCAATTCCAATTTTGAAGATATTCAGCGAGATATAAACCTGTTTGCTGATTCGTTTCTTCACTAGTCCATTCAAATTCAAATTTCACGTCACAATTTTGATCAAATCCTCTTTAAAAAAAAGAATGTAACGTTCGACTCGGGATTATTTCCATCCTAAACTTGAATATCTGATATATTAATAATAAAATATGGCCGTGACTATTTGCACCATTGCGTGAATCACTCCCGTGCACTACATACACTCCACGCATGCGTGAAGTTTGTGTGTTTCACGCAGCCGAATT